CGATGGTGTGCCTGTGAACAACTGTTTCTGAGCCATCACTGCTGATGTGAGTGGGAACAAAAAACCTATTACCAGTCTTTGAGTCGTCTTGAACGAACATGTCATTTCTCACTCCATTTTAGTTTGAAAGCCATGTTTTTCTCTCTGAGACCATTTGTCACTTACTGAGGTTCTCCCTCTGCCTGTCTGAACGCCGTGGATTTGAGTGGAGCAGACGGATGGAAAAAAAAATGTAACAAATGTTTCATCAGTTACAGATTCAGGTCAGGAGAGGATGCTACCAGGTCAGCACCTGGACCACAATTCACCTCAGATGAAGGGGAAGCTAAGGTCAAGAGCAGGACGAGCAGAAAATCAATAGATAGACACTTCGGTGACACAAAAAGGGGGCTCTGATACAATTTAGGGCTGAATTTCAGCCATTGATTTTTTTCAACTGAACAAGTGACAGTGGAATGTTTGGTCCACAGTTATAACAGCAGCAGTTGACTGAATCCAACTGACTGGATTCTAAAATAAAAGGATGCCTCCAGACCTATCCACTCCTGGTATAGACCACCTTCCTGGGGGGTCTGGGAGCTGAAAGCCTTTTATTTGGACGCTGTCAAGGAGCAGATACACACACACAGATACACACGCCTGGTTTCCTCTAATCCGACTCTCTTGGTACACTGCATCTCGTCAGTGTGAGCGACGTCCCTCAACAGAGCGACTCTGGCTCCGTTATCTCAGTCAGGGATAAACCTGCTCAGGAGATAAGACCGTGTTTAACGGAGGAGTGACTCATCCGGCTAAACCTGGGAAAGAGCCAGGCTGCTTGCGCGTGTGTTTTTTTTTTTCCCAGGTACTAATAATAGCAGGTAATAAATAGAACACAGAGGGAGCCGAAATGCCATCCTCAACAGTCGTCTGTTACAAAAGCTGCAGTAATGAGACAGTGACAGTGGGCTGTGAGTAACATGAAGAAAAGTGAGACTGAGATGAAAGGAAACACACACAGTACATCTGTGGGAATGCAGGAGTACAATGTGCATTGAAGGCAAAGACTTTCCAAAGGAGGACTTACATAATAAGGAGCACAGCACAAATCCTAGTTTAATAACCTGCTGAATGAGTTAATTTAACCTATAATTAACATTTCTTTTTTACACCTTCAGCTCCATCCTGATAGCTGCTGTTTTCGAAAAATGTCCAATCAAACAATTCAAATTCAAAAAAACATTTAAATTTGGAAATTCAATTTCTTACATAATAAACAGCACAAAGAGCTTACATCATCGCCTGCCAATTCTGATGATTTGATCAGAGGAAAAACCTCTCTACATGTTGGTGAATGGACAGGAGAGCAGTCAGTCTGTTCAACGGTAAATCTGCCTTAATGTGGACTAGAAACCTCTGGATCCACACATTGAGAATTTAAAAATAAAAGCACAAGAAAAAACCCAGCGTTTCAACCATATGGAACAAACACAACACACAAATGACGAATAAAAGAATAAATGACGATATTCCTTCGAAAACATGAGGCCATTAATGCTTACATCAACTGACCTCAGCAGGACTGACTGGACACTGACTAGATCCAATTCACAAAATGCAGCGGGTCTAGAACGTTCCCTGCAGAAACTGTTGACACCATAACAACACCGTAAACACATTACACCCTAATAGCACTTTGATGGTGTGACGCTAATGTATTGTCCTGTTGCCTCGTCTCAGTCTGTTTTGTCTCGTGGACTTTTTTGTTTTGTATAAGAGAATGATGTACATCATTAACTCTGTCCTTGTAATGTAAATTCATTCTAGAACATTCACAGTAGTAGTCAGTTTTGGCTGGAAATGTTTAAAGTTGTCAGTCAATGGTATTTAACTGTTGTCAGTCCATGTCAATCAATAGAGTGACACTGACTGATCATTTGCTGTTCCTGCGATTATTTCCACTCCATCCTAATTGCTCCTCGTGCACGTTCCTCCCTCTGGGGAACAATTCCGCCTTTGCTCGGTCGGTTGGTTATTTAGTTATAGGTGACCAGCAGAGTGAAGCCACCTGAGCTGACCGGCACCATCAGCCAATCAATGCACATCACGGGGAACATGGACAGCTGATAGCTGGACAGATTGGACCTTTAATGACCACCAAGAGACAACAGACCGAGGGCTCTAATCGAACTTGACCAAACAGGAAGGAATCTTTTCTCCCCTCCTCGTTCACTGACTGTTGCTGACTGTTAATCTGTCTGTCAGGGTGAACTGTGTATTTTCTGTCTTTGCCTCAAGCTCGTCTCAAATATTGAAGAGTGGAAAAACTACAGAGGAGAAAAGGAACACTTTGAGTCACCAAACTGTGCATCTTCCTCACCACAGGCCGAGTCCTAATAACACTAATGTGAGGTGTTCTGTAGAAAAAAGAACTCTCCTTACATGTATTTCACTTTCCAGTGACTGTGACTGACACTACGAAAAACTTAGCCTGCCTTAAGTAGCGCTAAAACCAAAAAACACATCAACAAGGCAGCATATTTCACATGCAACATGTTTAATGCCTCAACGCCTGCACAGCCGAAAATCATCATAGCATGTCGGTGTAGTACCCACAGCTTTTTAGCTTAGGACCTACTATTCCATACATATGTGTGTGTGTATATATATATATATATATGTATATATATATACATATATATATATATATATATGTATATATGTATGTATGTATATACTGTATATATACTGTTTATGAAATCCTATATTGTTTAGTATCTTTAAAGCATTAACGTTTCACCTGTTGCCACATTAGTTGGACTATATTTCCAATCAGTTGCAGATTCACATCATAAAATCCTGTCGTATCAAACTACGCAGGTGAAGACGATCGAGCAACGCAGAAGAGGAGGAGGGGGAGCAGATCCAGGCGGGAGATTTTGTACCAGGCGGGATGCGTTCCCCTGACAGCTGAGAACATCTAAATTTAGACACACCCCCTTCTCTCCACATCCTTAGCATCTCCTCGACGCCTCATCTGCACTTTCCCCCCTCCTCATCACCACAAACACCGAGACATGAAAGCCCCTGTGGAGAAAGTATCGACAGCTCTCTGCTTGCGTCAGACAAGTGTCAGCTGCGCCTGAGCTGAGAGTGTGTGTGTGTGTGTTTGCAAGTGTGTGTGTGTGCATCCATGGTGGAGCAACAGCTTCCTAAAATTAACAGATGCCAGAAACAGGTAATGATACAGATTTGGAGTTGGGAAGCGTGTGCACATGTACAGAACTGCATGTGTTCCAGTGCACGACACGAGATGCTAATCACATCATTGCTAATGACATCAGTGCCGACAAGAAAACAGGAATCTGCTTTTTATAATTTAATATATTTTTATTTCAAGATGGCTTATTGGCTGATTTAAAAATACTTTAGGTTATTTTCAAACCCCTTATTTTATACCTGTGTTGTCATATTTGGATGTTTAATATTCTAGATTTTGTTGAATTTTACACGCTACCATCTAATTTGATTACATGTTGTTGTATTGCCTAAATATGTGTCCATTTTCTATGTTAACACAGGTCTGTTTTTGCTAAATTTCTGTCTATTTAGAACTTATTTTGGCTACGCTGATCAATTCTAAGGCTAGCCGCTTTTAAATAGCCAACTGTTGAGATTTACTCAAACCGGTACGTATTTATTTTATTTTCCTAATGTTTTGGCTTAGTGGCGCTTTGGCCCAGAGGCAATGTCTCTGTCATTGGTGTGGAACCCCAGGGTTCACCTTCTGGACAAGTTCGAATCCCGGTTAGGGCGGTTAATACCTTCCAGTGGACTCACCACCCGCAGGAAGGTTTGGGGGGTTGGTACGGTGCAATGTGATTTGGGTGGCGACTGCTGCCCCTGCGACCCGGTAACGGATAAGCGGATGAAAATGGATGGATGGATGTTTTGGCTTATGTTTGACTGTCACCGTGACTTTTAGCTATAGATTTTATTTCTAAAATGTACTTCCATCTTTTGCCTTCTCAAAACACTATTGGCTCTCTGGATTTAAACAAAAAAAAAATTAAAAAATTAAAAAATAAAGCCATGATGGCATTTTCTGTTTTTCTATGAAAGCCACAATGGATAACTGTTGGACAAAACTACAGTACTGTACAGTACTACTGTGTATCACCAAAACTGCAGCCTAGCCATTTCTGAACTCACAGACACTACTGTGACGCAGAACTCCAACCTGAAAGTCTCATATATTGTGATTTTTTTTTTTTTTTTGCTGAATAATGGGCAAATTACAATCCAAGCACAAAACACACAGGCAGCAGAAGGAACACGTACAAAGCTCCGAACTGTACTGTTCTGAAAAGGTTACCGTGGCAGCAGGTGCAGAATGTGCCAGGACGATATGGAAGGATGAACGGCATGTTCGCTATTGACCTGCAGAAAACGTTTGGCTGACTGTCCCCAACCCTGGTGTGTGTGGCACCCCCGCCAACCCACACCCCACTAAAATCTAGTCGCTTTCTGCCAGTGTAGAAAAGTGGAAAGCACTTTTTGTTGCAGCTGCACACTGTCTGTAATCATAGCCCACAGGGGACACATTAGCACCGAGCAGCACCATCATTGCCACACAGCCACCAAGTAAACACGCACAACACACACTGGTGCTTCATACTGTCGTACGCAGCTAAAACCCGAAAGGAAAACCATAAACCTGCTGTGCACTTAGTGAATATGATATTTGGGTTTTTACATTAAACAAAAAGAGCTGAATAAAAACTTCAATGAAAGGTTAAAAACCATCGAGAGAGCAATTATTTTTCTCAAACGTCCATAAATATTATAAGGCCAAACAATTTAAAGGAAGACATTCTTTTTAAAACGCTGCATAGAAAGTATTGAAGGAGTAGTAGTACATCTGATGTACGTATTTAATAATAGAAGCTTTAAAGTTCAGTAATCACATATTAAAACCAGTCTTTCTTCAATAAAAACATTCTTTTTTTATTTCAACTCACCTTGCTGGTTGAGCTGCTGTGTGCTTTTGCTCCACTGTGACAAGCCCACGATGGCCACCATCTTAGCGCCCAGACTGGAACGCCTCTTCTTGTTGCCGGATAAAGACGCAGAGTCTGGGCCTCCGCTGCTGGGACTCTTTTCTAGGTTGTACATGGCCCCTGAAATGCTGGAGGAGCGAACCACGTTCCGGGCGGCCGCGCTGAGCCCACTGAGGCCACTCATCCCGCCCGGGCTTGGCACCTCCACAGAGCTGCTGAGCATCATGGTCCTGCTGGACTGGAGGGCCAGTGGGCTGGGAGGGGCGAGCAGGTTGACGGAGGGCTGAGAAAAGAAGACGGAAGGTTAACAAAATGACTCATGGGTAAAATTTTAAATTTGGCTAAAATATGTGGGAATTTAGCCTGTTCTAAAACCATCAACCTCACTTAGTCTTTTTTTTTTATTTTTAGGAGAATAACTTTGCTTCCAATTTTATGCTGAACTCCTACGTTTCTGCATGCTGAGAGCTTCGGTGTGAACATGCTGATCTTTAGTTCGAGGCACTGCACTCAGCTGCAGAGATCACATGTTATGATGAAAAAAATTCTTTATGCACACGCTGCCTGGGATGGAGCTCATGAATAATACAAGCACAATGAATTTGGCCTAAATATGTCTGTAGATCAGAGGAGTCAAATGTAGATGCTGCCTCTGATGTCACTGTACGTAAAATCACATTCAACTGTACAACTCCAACGACTCACGAGAGCACTACAGAGGAACTGTAAACTGATGTGGCAGTTGGTTCACTTCAGCTTTCTGAAATGAAAGTCGCAGTATTTCCACGCAGCCAGTGATGCAGCGGCATTCATTCTTAAGCAGAAAGTCGCTTCGAAAAGGATGAAGAATAAAGATGATCCCACACATCCTTACGCTCTTTTCTCTCCTTACATCTGAACCAACCCTATCTCCTCTAGTCCAGGCCGCGTTCACTCCCCTCAGGCTTTCATTGGAGGAACATGCAGAGAGAGCCAGCGGGAGACACGGACAACGGTGGGGGAAGAGGACGCTTTGTAATGAATGGACAGAGAAAACTGCTGCAGGAAACTGTGGTGAGAGAACGAGAAGCCACGCAGCCATTTGTCTTCTCCTAAGATTTACTGTTGTCATGGCTAAAAGGACAAACGTCAAAGTTTAAGACTAAATCGTACTGAATACTGTCCTGTCTTTTTGTTATACCCACAGGATAACGGTGCAGAGCGACGCTGATGTGAAATGCACTATTTTGAATGACAATACTTGAGTTTCACTACAAAATTATAGCATAAACATCAGTGTCCCTCGTTTCTGGTCCTGTTATTCAGGATCTACCTTGTGAACGGACACTGAGAAACGGATGGATGAATGGATGGATGAAAGGCTAATCTCCACTATTAGCTCTTTCCATTAACACAAATGTCACAAGTGCGTAGTTAGAAATGGCCGACTGATCCAGTAACGACCCATTTGCTGGACTCCTTTATTAGCCTGCAGTTTAGCTGTAAAGTGGATGGTGGAGTAAAAGTGCAGGTCATGGAGCGGCGAGCTAACGTTGGCCGGGCTATTTTTAAAATCCAATAGACTACAATGTTCTGCTTCTAATAGATTAATTCACAGGGTGTTTCACACAAAAATAAAAACTAAAAAAATATACTAGCTTCAAATCCCTTCAATCAAAGAACACAGATGCTACGCTGTGTAACTAATATACACCTACGACACAGAGTCCACGACTCTTTTAAAAATCACAAACGTTATTAATGTCTCTGTGCCTGTGTACGTGGAGCAAATCCTAACATGCTGCACCCTGAAGGATAAAAATTCCATTACTGAGAGTAAGGCAAAAAATAAAATGCGAGATCAGCTTTTGATTTTCTTTTTTTAAATAAGGAAATACACTAACATGGAAAATGAGATTTTTCATCGTACAAGTTCATGACAAACAATCTGACTGGCAGAACACATGCAGTACTGTATTCTTCCTCCTGAGCCAACTCTGCAAACACTGTGGGTACTGTGTGTACGTGTCCAGAGCCTTCTGCCATTGTGTTTCTCCTAATGTCACGAGTATATGCATGTGTGTGTGTGTGTGTGTGTGTTTGATACAGCTCTTTGATCATAAGGGGTCTCTGAAGGTGAGAAAACAGAAGGCTGGTTTTGCAGCTAAACACACTCACACAGGACAATTTGAGCGCCAGGCTGCGGGATGACAGAGAGCCAAATCACACACACACACACACACACACACACACACACACAGACACCAAATCCCACACAGGGAGAGACTCATCATTGTGCAAACACACATATGCTGTACTGAATGTACGCGCCAGAGTGAGGCCAGAGAAGGAGCCAAGACCCAGAATGACAGAGGGCGCTGACACTCCTGTCTTGGCTCCAGGACCTGAATCAACAACTAAATCTACTGTAAAACACTCTCCTCTGACACAAATTAGATTCAAGCATCAGGTTGACCGAGACAGTGCATCAGCGTATCAGAGGCGAGCTGACCAGACTGCAGCTCACAGCACTAATAAATATGAACAAATTCCCTATTTCACACTTTGCAGAGCGATAACACGCCGTGGTGGCCACGCACTCGAGTCTAAATCAAACACTAACAGCTGTGAACAGAAGAGTAACGGAGTTCATGCTCAGTTTTTGTTTTCACGTCTCCCTCTGGCCCAGTTGCATTAATATCCAATGAAAATCTCTAATCAGGATCGTCGCTGACACACACTGTACGCTCTTCACACACCGTCTTCTGACAGCGGACAAAAATCTGATTTGTCACGCCATGTTTTCACACAAACTGCTAATGAATCGATGGAGCGTTCGCAGTGACGCTGAGGTTAAAAGGGTCACACACCGTCCACCCAAAGACATTTAGGTGATGAAACATGAAGATAAATGACTGAGATCATGTGGTTTATAGTAGGCAGTAGTGGCAAATGTAAACTTGAACAGAACTGGAATAAGACAAATTGAAATTGAATTACTTGCCGTGCATATTTTACACACACATAGAATGTGAACACTGCATTTAACCCACCCAGTAAACATGAGTACTAGTGATTTTTACCCTGGAGGGCCACATAAAATGACATCAAAGCCCAAATTTGGGCCACAGGCCACGAGTTTGACATATATGGTCTAGGCTTATCACAACAATAGAAAGCTAAAGCAATGGTGTTCTGTGTTGAATCAGAGTATGCATATGACGTATGAATGTATCTGTAAGTACTGTATATAAACTGCAGTACCTTCAGAACAGTAGTTCACATGTCTCTCCAGGTTTGGGCTGAGATGTGGTACTGAAGTTTTCCCAGTGAAGTCACATGGGCTTGGTGAGTCAAACAGTACTGACACACACACAATTATTTACATCAAACTTTTAACCATCTTCTTACTAACATGGTTTATTCAACCGTTAACGTTTAAAGGGCACATGATTTCAGTTCTTGACAAGAAATACAAGCAGAGCAGGAACATCACGTGCGTCACAGTGCAATGGAACTGAATAACTCTGTCACTACACATGGTAAAAACAAATAGAGCTCAAGCAGTTTGAATTTCAATTCCATCTTAGTTGATGGGATGCCAGTTAATCCGACTCGCCTGGAATAAAAACACACTTTCAGCAGCAAAAACAATTATTTCAAATAAATACGTGCAGGAATGAGACCACCCGTTCCAAAAGTGTCATCAGTATCATTTCAAACATCCACTCACTGCTCAGAATCCCTGTATCCCACACTAATCCAACCACAGCTGAGCTAGCAACAATGTTTTTCTTTTTCTTTTTTATTTCAGCTGTGAATCAAATAGCCCACATCCAGGACTGAAGCCAACAGCCTTTTGGAGAAGTGAGACCTCTCTCGTATCATCACTTATCACCCTCGGCTCTGTCTCTCTGCACAACACCAGGGGAAATCTGCGGTTAAACTGAGAGCTGTAACGTCACCGGGTTTGTCTTTGTTGTCACACAGACTAAACAAAGTCCAATTTATTTATTTTTATCAAACGTAAAAGTAGTTTGGGAAAACAAAGTTCAACTGCTAACTGTTTTCCTTGGTGCACACTAAAGTAGCGACCGAAATCTCCCCTCGCTCTCTCCTTTCACCAGGCCTTCTGGCACACAGCGGCTTTCTTTCCAGTCCCTTCTTCTTTCATCTCCATCAAAAGAGTAGCGGTGAAGTTAATCTGTCAGCGCCGGGCCATGGAGAGCTCACACAGAAAACAGAAAAATAAAACCCAGAATTGCTGGGCTGCAGGGGCAAAGTGGGTTAAGAAGGGGTTGATGGATGAGACTGGAAGCGTTCGTGAGTCATGGCCCATTTTATAGCGGTGACTAACGTGGTCATCTCACTGCCCCTCGGCCATCCCTCCCTCTGTCCGTCCTTTCATACCACCTGTGATTGCAGCAGGCTCGCCTGAGACACGGATGGAGCAGCTTTAACAGCAGGTTTGGATTAAAGCTACAAGAGTTAAAAACAACTCCTGATCCAATGTCATTGACTTTCACACCTAAAGCATGGGTGTGTTACTCCAAAACAACCGGCAGCTGTGGCTCTACAGAGGGGTTAAACCTCTGGCTTCACTGGTCCACATGCCAATGTGTCCCTGGACAAATTACAGCTGGCACTGACTGATTATGCCATACAGAAATACTGTCATGTTCATTAGAAAATTCAAATAAAAACTCCAATAAAACAAAACTTCTGCTTAGAATCATAAAACAAATATATCAGAAGGAACGTTAAAGGGACATTTTTGAATATATTCACAAGGACGAAGGAGAATCAAGCATGTCAAGAATTCAGTCTGGGCTCCTGCTGCTGGAAAGTATCGATAAGTGTACGGCTCCAAAAACAACAGTTTGGTTTTTGGTTCAGAGGAAAAGACTGACATTCAGAAAAGTAACTGAAAAGCATACTATATATAATTCTACTGCAGTATTTCAGGTGTGGAGTGAGAATGTTTTTTTGGACAGTAACTGCAGAGATAAGTGTACTGTAGTACAATCCAACTGGTACACAGTTGGGTTGTACTGCCATTAGCATTTCCACTGGAATAAAAAAACCCTGACCAGGCGTTACAAATGGTGGTCTGCAAGTGCACACATGCAGAAGACGCATTCATACACTCACACACACACACTCACACCACAGAGAAGCCTGCTCATTACTATGATAAGTGTCTGCTCTGGCCTACGGTTGTTTTCATTTAATTTTAATTTCAAAGGCAACCAGAACCGGATACAGATCTGAGGGCGGGGGTGCTCCTCCCTCCCTCCCTCCCTCCCTCCCTCGTCCCCTCCGTCCCCCTCACCTCCTCTCTCTCTCTACTCTTTCTTGTTTTGCCCTGGACGTTGCCTTTGACCTTTACAGCTAGCAATTGTAAGTTGCCGTTGTGTGTCCGCAAGTGTGTGTTCAGAGAGATGTAGAGGGACCAGAGACTCTTTGATGGGAGATGATACAGTGGTTTGGCCTTTGGAGTGACCAGATTATGTGATAAGATCTGACCAGTGCCTCTCTGCGACTTAGACTGGACCATATACAGTACAGTATTATAGCACACACACATTGTTAAAGCTGTCACACACATTCTCCTCCACTCACAGAATACATTCAGTGTTAGTCGACACACGAGTTACTGTGTGTTCCAATAAGGACGCAGGTGTGCTAACCACACTGTCAGCCTACGTTGTGTGTGAATACACTCTTTTTAGCGTTCGGTGTGAGTGAAGCAAACCTAACGGTAGTGAAGAGCACATCAAAGTACTCGCATCCTTTATTTATACAGACAGGAATTGCACCATCACCTTTTACGGACAGTTAGAGAGAGTCCACACACTTTTACAACATTATCATCAATTTTTTAAAAGTAAGTCTAAGTGGTGCAAAGACGGCAAGTTTAATTTCTACTAAGAGCTCTCTAGTGTGTGTTTTTCTTCTTCACACTGGATCTGTCCTGGTTAATAAAAACCAATTAGCCCGCAAGAGTTTCCCTTTTCTCATATTTAAAAATGAAAAGTTTTACAAATAAAACTGCTTGTCATTTCAAGGCATTACAGAACTTTATGGTGCTGTGTTCATCAGCAGTGGTTTGGAAATGATGCCAGTCTTTTATGGTCTATGCTACTATGCTATGCTAATTCAGAAAAGGACCAGCAGAATAAAAGGACAGAGGGTAAAATCAGTTGACTGTAGTCAGAAAAATAAGAATGACTATATGAATGTATGAATGTAAGAATGTAAGTTATAATATGGCAATAACTTTTTTGTGTGTAATCACACACAATTATCAAATTTAATTACAGTAAGGAGATACATGCAGTCATTTATTGCATGGTTATTATTGCTTGCATTCCTTTAACCCATTCCAGAGAAGAAGAAAAAAAGCCTCAGCTTTGTCAACATCCACCTCTGAGCCCATCGAGTCGGTACAAGCACATACGTGTGCATGTGGCCATATGATAGAATCTCACACCTCAGCATGTCACTTGGCCTGACTGGAGGGTTGGCAGACAACAGGGATTTGAAAACATGTTCACTCTCTCCCCCACAGTCTCTGACTCCCTCCAGTCAGCGGCTCACCTGCTCTCACACAAACAAACAGCAGCAGGTTAGCAGGCCACTGCCACCTCTTTATACCTGTGACCACACTCCACGTTAAAAAAAAAAAAAAAAATAGAAAAAGACACAGCAGTGCAGTTGATCTTAGATGTGGCTTGTTTCATGAATGACCAAACACTTTGTGACAGATTTAATGTCAGGACGAAGAGCCACCTGTTCCTCCTAAGACACAAACACTGTAAACAACACTAACACAGAGACCACTGTTCCCTATAGGACTATTTGTCAGTCAATAGTAGGCTTTAAAAAAGCTTCACTCAGTGTAATGGCTGCTACATACCTTTAATGAGAAATTAAAACTGCATGTTTTTTTAATAAACTGTAATTTTTTTTAAAATCATTCTGAAGAGTCAGAACCAGCCTTATCAGCCTTTAGGCCAGATTATTGTACCGTAGTCTAATCTCTTCATATAGTCTTATTTTACAGTCAAACAGTCAAAGGGGTGGTTCTAAGTAAAACTGGGGTCTGAGGACCTCTTGAGGAACCGTAACACAAAGGCCAGTTACAGCACTGTGACCACAAGAGGGCATCGTTCCATGCTAGATCATGGTGACATTTGCCCCCACAGTTCCTCCTTGTAAAAAGTGTCTAGCTAAATTTGTCAAGGTGCACCGAAACTTTGGACATTTGTTTAGTACATCAGCGCAAATGAAGCTGCCTTCATACTGTAGGTCCAACCTCTTTAATGCAGTACAGTTATATTACATGAATTGGTAGGTTATATTCTACCCCCAGTCAGAGGCAAAACACATCACCACTTTGTTCATTTGGACTAGAAAGAAGAGAAAAAAGTGCATACTATTTAACAGACTGTTAGAAAAAAATTGGCTTAAAACTATTAGAAATACAACTGCCAAGTGTATGGTGGCAAGCATTAGGTAGAAAAGAAAACATTGTATATAGTTTACAATGAGCAACTCTGCAGAATATTTTTAGGATTTTGAGGACAGTTTCTTGCGTCTTTTGCGTCTTTTCACCCCTTTAACCCCCCACCCTCACACTCTTTGTGCAGAATGGATGCTCATCCCTCCATGGGAATTCGACTTTCAGAGCCCTGCAATAATATAATTCCTGCAAAACATTTCAAATCAAAACAAACGCATCTACAAACATTTGGATTTTATCCGTTTAAAAAAATGAAACAATTTTGAAAACCACCTCTGCATTAAAGGAGTCCAAGTCTTGCAGCTGTCAGCAATGATCTGATTTGCTCACTGATCAGTCACTGACCCGGGTGATGCGCGATTAAGAAAACAAAGTCAGCAGGAGGCACACAGGTTTGTGCTGCTGGAATTGCACTCATAATCTGCCTCTAATTTCAAGCATTTTGAACCACGCAATTAACTGAGAAATCAAAAAAGCACTCACCACTAACAGCGAGGAGCGGCGGAGGCAACGTGTGCGATGGAGAGCAAGTTGTCAAATAACTGTCTGCTGCAGCCGTCTGTGTGAGAATGTCATCGTTTGGGTTGTATTGTTGCTGTTGCTGCTGCTGATGCTGCTGATGTTGCTGCTGCTGCTGCTGCTACACTCACTGCATCTGAGGAGCGCTGTGCTGCTGCTACGGAGAGATAGGAAAAGACAGAAGGGAGCAAGATAGGATATAGAGAAGGAAGGGGGAGGGCGAGGAAGAGGTGCGAGGACGGGCGGGCCAAGGTGCAGCGGTGTGGCGAACAGCGACAATTTGTGGCTGAGTTGAGCACTGCTGCATGCAATGAGGCAATGAGTGAGGATGGGTGCACATCACACAAGCACAGCAGCCTCTGCGAAAGAAACACGGCTTTTTCAATGGGCTACAGGACCAAATAAAAGACCAACTAAGAACACTAAACAGGAAATAACTGGAACCAAAAATAAAATAAAGACATTTTTTTGGTTTCAAGAAAGTGTTTTAGGGTTGGTAAATGGACTTGAACAGGTCACCATTGACTCCACAATGACATGTGCCTTTATAAAACAGTGTGGGATCTGAACATAGTAATAGAACAAACTAAAGACATGATATAAATAATAGTAATAATAATAGTAGTAGTAGTAATAATAATAATAATGATGATGATGATGATGATGATTTTCTGAGCACCCACCAACAGCACACCAGTCCTACTGGATACAGACTGCCTCCTGACAGTGTTTACTTACTCCAGTGTGTTATTACTGTCACTGTCATGGTGCTTTGATCCTCATATGAACCCATCAGGGCACAGTGAAAAAGCCCAGGTCTTTACAGCTGCAGGTGAATTATGGGCCACTCAGTCACCCATGCAGCTGGTCACTCCAACAGGCATAAATCAGATGCCTGGGATCAATGGCCCGTTTCCCATAGGTGAACCACTGTGGCACAACACAATCAATTCTACCCTGGGAATCATTGCTGCAATTACTTAGCCGTATTCTCTGTTGCCACAGTAAAGAGGGTTGACTGAAATCGGCCTCCACAAACATTAATAGCAGCCCTGAATCTGAATCAGCTCATTGGCATTCTGTGAAGAGAGGCCGAGTGAAGCGGTGAAAGAGCATCTGTTGCTGTCATCAGCTGATGTAGTGACCACAATGGCCGTGTTGCAGCATGCATTAACGCTTCGTCTGTCATAAATTTAAAAAAGAAAATGCTGATTTGAAGGAAGCAGCAGTGGAAAAGGGAGGTTCAATCGTCACCAGATGGAGTTATATTTCAAATGGATTGATCCATTCAGAGCTGGACTCACATCCACAGCTGCAGTACATGATCAACACAGTGATGTCAGTGAGGAGAGCAGCCCCTGCTGCCCCCTGTGGAAACATGAGGTAAACATATTAGCGCTCAGTATATAGAGTGTATCTGTTCAATGTTGCCACAGAGTCGATTCATTCACAGTAGATGTTATGGTCATGTGACTGAGGGCAGATAATAATTTTACATAGGAAAAAATCCCTGTTTTAACTGCATCATTAATGTAGTTATTACATTCAATATTATGTGCTAACAGGGTTTTATTATTATTATTGCCAAGCTGTAGGGCTGTGTGTTATGAAACCAACCATTCCTAGCAGTTAACGTGGTGTTACCCATTATATTCTTACTGGTTCTGTGCACAGTGCCTCTGACCGGCGCATAAAGCACAGACTCTGGAGGATGAGCCTGAGAGAAACACACAGGGCACAGTAACACCTTTTGTTGATGTCACAACGTCACTGTCAGCTGAAAATATGCTCCAGTCAGCACAGCTGTAGGGCCTACAGCTGCACAGAGGCTGCCGTGTCTCCTCTCTGTGTGTGGAGTTAATGAATACACACGGTCATTATCGTCTGCATTGGTTTTCTTCTGTTGCTGTAAACAGCCCTATATGATGTTTGTTTATTGCGGCATAATTGTGGTAACTCTTGAAACTAAATTCACAAAAAATCGTTTTATTTAAGGTCAAAAAGTAGACTTTTATACATCAACACATGCTATACATTCATAAAGTCTGTGTCAAACGGTTCTGGGTGTTAGAAATTATGTTTGGGCACCCTCATTTGGCTAATATTCGCAATTACAACCTTCACAAACGTAACTTTCTCATAATCAGTAATTGAAATTTGATTATAAATATTGTAGCAATCACTTTTCAATGGCATGGGAACAATACTTTAGCCTCCCCCTTAAATTACAAGATAGGTCATTTTATGTGGACACCAACCTCAAAAGTTTTCATTTTTTCTGCACTGGACTGAGATGTTTGTGGGTGAAAATATGAATTAATATGAAACAGAGCCAGTAGAGGGCATTAATGCACATTAGAACAAATGTAAGTCTTGAACGACATCTGAAATGCACGTCCATGAATATTAGATGAACATTGTTGAATACTTTTCCACATTAACCAAATTGTCAAAAACTTGACGATTTCGTCTCTAAAGATTTTCAGTTTAATGTTTAACAAAGACACTTGAATATTTCAGTTGTTTCTGCTCGAAGCCAGTATAACTAAGTGGAACTAAAATAATTTTAATTCAGAGAAAACTTAATCAGAAGCTCCTCTAAGAGATGTTTGATTATTGACTGCCATCAGCGGAAAAGTGAGGAGAACGTAACAATCAACATCTTCTTGATTTGATTTATGATTCAAAAGTCTATAAAAATATATGTTTGAACATGACCTGTGGTACATGGAGGCGATGGGGCGCAGGATTGTTTTTCCTTATGATGTTTTCCTCCTTCCCTTATGTGGATATCAAACTGTCTTTCTGTGTGGTCGGGATGTTCATTAAAGAAGCAGTAGTTCAAAAGGAAGTCTCAAATCAGGGTTTTGATTCTGGACTTCATGATGCCAATGGACGATATTTTGTTGACTTTGACACTGAGACGGCTGCTCGGCTGTAGTTTGTGTATAATATACCATTGTTCTATACCAGGATTCACCAACTGTATTTGTCAAAGAATTTTCCAGACAGACACCTTGGATGTTGGACCAAGAATCACATTTTTGCCTAAAATTATTCTTTGATGTTTGGAAGCAACAGGCCAGAATTGACTCCAAGGTGGGCTGGATTTGGCCCACGGGCCGCCAGTTGATGATCACTGTTCTATACTATGAGTAGATTTGCTGGAGGAGGCTTCAAAGGAACCTGGCCGAGTGTAAACCTTTTGGCCTTGAACTGATTCAGCTCTTCTTGAGTCAGTTTGCTCTCGGGTGTAAACAAACCGTCTGCCGCCTCGCTGCCAGCTGCTGCTGAAGCGGCAGGAGCAGTGGGTGCTCCGAATACTGCGCTCGTCTTTCCAAAGTTGCTACTGCCACTGCTCTCTGCTGCTGCAGGGGCACCACTCCCAGATCCACTCCCGAATCCTGTGCCCGTGTTTGCTGAGGAGGAGGAGAAGCTGAAAGCAGAGGCGGAGCCAAAGCCCGAAGAGGCTGGAGGTTGGTTAGTGGTGGGAGCAGCGAAGGAGAATGTAGAAGCTGAAGGAGTGGAGGCGGAACCAAAGCCCATGGGAGGCTGAGCTGGGGCTGCTGTCACGTTTCCGAAACCTGACGAGGACGATGGTGCGCCAAATCCAGTGTTAGATGCAGCAAAGCTAAAACTGCTTGCTGTTGCTGTGGCAGGAGCTCCAAAACCTACAGGACAGATAACATAAATACAGTAGTTAGCTAACAGACAGTGAGGTTTGATCAAAGGCTCGTTCTCAAAATTGATCACTTAAGCATCATCTATGTGGTTAAAATAAAAATTATTTATTTAATTACTTTTTTCAAAGAAATGATTGGTTATGTGATGCACTGTTGTGTTTTTTCTCTTTCACAATCATAAGCAATACTTTAATATTAACCTGTGCTTCCAAAGGCAGATGAAGTGGATCCAAATCCAGAATCCGTTTGAGGTGCTGAGCCGTGTAACTCTCCAAGCTGCAAATAAATCAATTGATATTGAATCATGCTGTAAACACCACTCTCTGTGTCTGTTTGTGTGTGTTTGTGTGTTACCAATGCTGTACGGGTAGATGGGTTCATGATCTTCAATTCTTGGAGTCTGTTTCTCCACTGGTTGAGCAGCTGACTAACACCATTCCCCTGAAAACATGCAGAGGAACAGTAACAGAATCAGATGTATGAACATCACCACATATTTTAAAACACAATTGGAACAACATGCATGCGTAACTTTGACTTACATAGTTCTGCAGATTTCCTGAAGCTCTCGTAGAGTAGTACTCCAGTCTGAGCTCTTCTGGAGAGAGATCAGTGAAACCTGGAAAAAATAAATTATCCAGACAAATTATTTAAATAATTTATTCACTGAACACCTTTTACTATATATAAAATAAATAATTGTATTGATGAATGTGTTTGATACGGACCAGACAGATTTTTGGTGACGTTGGAATAACATGAGAAACACCACTGGTGAGAACTTTCCCATATCTCCATGTCTTTCTGGATGATCTCCCTGGAGGATCAGGGGACATCATATTTTGTAAATGGCCTTCTCGCAACAGATTACATTATTTCTAATTGTCCAAAGATTTGATAAAAATAAACAAACTCACAGTTGTCTGTCATCTTCTTCATCAGCAGCCGTTCGCCCCCCTCCTCCTCCTCCACTTCTTCCTCCTCTCCTGTCAAAAGTACTAGGAGAATCTAGTCCTGAAAATCTGTTCTGAACTGAAAAGCTGAATTCAGAGCTCTTAATGTTGTCTCTTCTTCCTTCGCCTCCTCGGCCCCAGTCGTTCTGTCCTCCTCCTCCCCAGTCGTCCCCTCCAGATGAGAAGGATGAAGTCTTAATATAATTGCCTTTTTGTTGGTCAGGATTCACCCAAACTCTGTTTCCAAACCCTGAAAAGCATAAAATAGATAGATAGATAGACATAACCTTATTAATCCCTCAGGAGTTCCCTTCAAGAAATAATAATGACCAAAACCAGACGGTGTTGACAAAATAATTTCTTTAATGTAATACTGTTAATGCAACACTGCAATATTTATTCTTTATTGATATTAATTTAGAAAAACTAGTACCTGCTAGTTTTCTTAGTTTATAGTGCTGTTCTAAACTCAAACACAAAAATACTCCACGTTTAAGGTGACATTCAGTCATTACACAAAACAGGTTTATATATATTTTAACATTTTATTAACATTTTATTACTGGGTGGAGGACGGTCAAACTATTAATTTAGGGAGAAACCACCGCTGGGTTACCGATAGAGTTATATAGCCAAATAGACACAAATCAAAATAAACCTGTAAAAACTATTTTAAGTAAATCTGCTTTAAAGCTGTTTAACGGTTGCACCGCGCGCAAAACGATTGAAAAACCCATTCAATTGCTCCTGAGTTACCCAGGTGTTAACATCTAAACATCTAAAGTGAATCAACAACAAAACAAAATAAGAACTAGCTTTCAAAAAGTCGGAAACAAAAGTTAACGCTCTTGTGTTTGAATATCAATTACAGTATCAACTATGAATCGTCTGTTGTTGCCAACACTGTTTTGGAAAGTTTTTAACAGCTATAGTAAAAATAGATTAAATTAGGGTTAAACTGGTAGATTTACCTCCTCCACCTCCTCCCTTGGACTGTTGCTGTCCAGAGGAGCCTTGGTGGTATCCTCCTCCTCCTCCTCCACCGCCGCCTCTGTTTCCTCCTCTTGGATGCTCGTTCCAACATTTTTCACCGTATCGACAACGACCCTGAAGAAAAAAGCTGCACACTGTCATTTTCTATCGGTTTTTTAGGTTCTGTCCGAGCCTCAAACTGTTTCTAACAACCAGTAACGTTTGTATGCGACTACAGGCAAGGAGTCGCAGAATACTGACGTCATCGGCCAGCAGCAGCGGCAGAAAAACACAGCGACCCCCCGCGGCAGCTCCTCCGCTTCATTCATTCATTCATTCATTTATAGTTTGTTTATTTACTGTCATTTATATGTTGTTCACTGACAATAAATGAGATGTAGTTCTGTCAATTTGTCTTTTAACGAAGTTTAGAAGTTTTACATTCGCACAGAAAACTAGAAGTTTCTGGAAATTCGGCTGCAAATCTTCGTGAAATTGGTAACATTAGAATTATAAATACCAAACATTAAAGTGGTTCATATGTCTGTCTATCCCATTGTCGGTTCAACTTTAAGCCTTCTGGAACAGTTTTAAAGGTATTTTCTCAAAATAATAAAAATGAATAATGACTCAATAATATGTTCAGCATAGAAAATATATTTTTTTATGACTGTATATAGACCAAGAAAGCAAGAAAGCAGTAATATACAGTAAATATTAGCTCACATAAGATAAGGAGCTTATTTTCAAAGTATCATAGTGGTAAATTAAAAAATACAAAGATGCAGAATTATAAAAAATCTCTCCTTAATTGAAACACTAGAACTACGGGTTATGGGCAGCAATCTAAGGGAATGTTTAATATATATTATATTATACATGTATTTAATATATTTTTATCAAAAGCATAAAATTCTTCACAAACTCTTTTTCAGCAGTACAGTAGAACTAATAATAACAAGCCAAATTGAAATCAGAATTCAGGAGTATGTGAGAACCAGACAATTTTTGTTAAACATTGTTAAAAAAACCCCTGTGTACTAACACTGATTTAAAAAACAAATCTTACTGCACAAATAAATAATGGTATAAAATAGTATAAAATGTATTTAGACTCTACATATAAAGTTACAAAAATAGATAAATATATACTTATTGGTAACGTCATTGGATATATTTGTTAAATCCAAGGTTCAAGTAAAGTGACTTCTTAGGTTTGCTGCTTTAGGTTTAGGTACTCTTAGGTTTATAGGTTTCATCTTCATAGGAGAACGGCACTTGGTGTTGCTGTTTGTGCCATTTTCTTTTTTTTTTTTTTTCTTTTTCTTTGGTACTTTTATGTAACTTCAGACATGATTGCGTGGGGAAATCAAGCTTAGGATTGGACTTAAGAATTAGGAAAAAAATATTAACTTCATGCCTAGCACCAATAAGTAGCAGCCATCTGATTGGATGATTGGATATTTGCATAGCTTGTAGTTGAATAGACATTCCTTCTAAAGTGGTCAGTGAATATATACTGGTAAGAAAAAAAAGAGTAACAATGTTTAGTGTACAATAAAATTACCATCAGAAAGCAGTGTTAACACAGTATTTGTGGTAACGAAAGTTACTCAGTATGTAAAAATTTAGTAAGCTTAAAATAAAGAAATAAATGTAAAGAAATAACCCAAACAAAAAAAAACCAGACATCTACTTCATGCCTTGGCTAAGTAAGGACAATCCCTGCACACCGAGGCAGAGGAGCAGAAAGAGAACTTCATCCTGTTGCTCCACCCACACACTGTGGATGTTTCTCTTCAGTGACACTCTGGTGGAGGCCAGCAGCTGCTCTGCCTTTTGGAAAGTAGGGTTGTCCTGCAGCAGGACAGGAAGGCGCTGAACAGAAAGGCATCCTTCAGATTCTTTCAATCTACACATCTGCAAAGGCACAAACATGAATGTAAGGCATAAGAAGTTAATTAAGAGCCCTGAATTACATTTTTAAAACAGTAAGTCCCAACTGCTGCAAATTACTGGAAGCAACATACAGTGCTCAAGAATTAGAATAATTATTTACTAATTGAACCCTAAACAAAAGTCAATTAATTTTGCATTAAATAAACTGTTTTTCTTGTTATCCAGCAGGCATCTCTTTAAATGTTGATCCATGAAATAATTTTTTACAAATTTTAATTGCTTTGTCTACCAGTTTAAATCTGGGATCAAATATTGCAATATTGCTTACATAGTGAGTTTTTATTCAATTTGATTTTACTCAAATTATACAAACCAGCGTGTGCAAGGCATCCAGAAAATCGGCAGAGCTGTCACTCATGACGTTCAGTGTTTCTGTGGGCAATTCTGAAAGACACATTCACACAACAAGATTAAAATGAAGAAATATAAAATACTTAAATACTTAATCATAAAATACTTATGCTGCTGCTCAAAGGATTGTGGCAGATATGATGTCTCTTACCTTCCATGGCACTGACCAGCAGGTGAGCAGCTTTTAGCTGAGCCGCATTGGTAGAATGGGGGTCGAGTGGTTCAGGGCTGAAGTCAGCTGACATGGATCTGCTTAGACGTTCCACCGGTTCCTCGTGTTCTGTTGATTCAACAGTGTACAACTCCTCCAGCTGTTTCAACAGAGGCACAGAAAATTAGAAAAATAAACACACATGAAGCGCAGGTTCATCAAAATATGACAGTAAATCTCACCTGCCAGTACTGTTGAGTTCTTTTTTTAATTTTATTTCTTAACTTCCTACAGAGTTCTAGCACTGACTTGATCGATCTTCTCAGACTGACACAACTGTGCCAGGTCACTGTAACTCACCACGGACTGGAGATATGACAGAGAGCTGTTCTGTCCTTTAACGTTTCTCGGAGCTTCTGGAACAAGGCATGTTTGGTAAACTCTGGCAGCTCAGCAAGTGGAGACAGGTCCATCTGCTGTAATTCTACATAAGAAATGGAGAAAAGGCTCTGTAAAATACAGAACATACTCAGGTGTAAGGAAATAACACACAGCAGTAGCTCAAACGTAGCACTTAGAGACACTTAGAGACATCAACTATTTTGCTGCACACTTAAACCACCTTTATCTTGAGACATATTTCCATTGCACTTCCCATCCACCATATTGAATCCGGACTCGTAGGACGGACCTGATGATGCAGAAGAGTCCGCCTCAAAGCCTCCAATTGTGCCGGGTTGTAAACATAAATCTGGAAATACACAAAATGTGCATTTAGCAATTACTGAAGCACACTGTGGCACACAAAAAAAAACTGAGTCCATGTATGATCTACAGGTACACCTACCAAAATGTCCACTACTCCTTATCTCGAGTTCTAGGATGCTGTATGCAATGACCGTGTCAGAAGGGATTTCCAAAGAAACATCACTGTCCACCTTATAGCTCCCTTTTTTCTGCACACAATTACACACAAACAATTCACTTCCTCAAATTAAACAAAATTATTGATGTTTTTTCAACTCTCAGTTCCATCCACGCTCACTTTGATGGAGCTGCTCAGCATGTCCAACAGAGTGATCACCCCCTGCAGTGTGCACTGTTCTTTTCTGGTCTGAGTGACAAGGCAGGAGTTGGTGGTGAGGATTCGCTCTTTAACTATTGCCAGGACGTCAGCGCGCTTCTTCAGCTGCAGCACCAGAACGTGCTCCATGTTCACCAGCCTGGAAAACAAACAAACAAAAACAATGCTCAACATAAATTGTATGCGTGTATTCAGGAAGGCTCGTGAAAGAGATAAGCAATCTAAATAAATAATCACAGACACTACGGATCTCTGTAGCGGTGGTTAAACCTTTGTACGACACCGGTCTGAGGAGTCAAATGTCTGATTCAAACTAAATTTTTAAAACTGTACACTTCATAGGAAATGCAGTCATCTATCTATCTATCTATCTATCTATCTATCTATCTATCTATCTATCTATCTATCTACCGTGTATATTTATATATATCGATCTTAAATATATATACTGTATATACCTGTTCCTTGATTCACGCAACAGCTTCTTCACGTCCAGCTCCTGTTTCTTCAACTTGCCAAAACATGAGTTCAGCTCAGAGGTGCATCTTCCTTCCACTTCCACACTGACTGAACCAGCCCGGGTATCGAGACTTCCCGAGTAAGTGCCTCCAAATGTCCCCTTGAAGGTCAGGAATTCTGTCTCACACACACCTGACAAGACATGCGCTGTTAGCCATCTTCTGAAAAGCTAACAACACATATGTAAAATGTATGTACAATACATTACACACTGTATATTTAAGCTGATTTTTTTTTAACCTAAAACGTTCTCCTCTGACTCTTTGTAATGGGCCAACATGGCTGGAGTTAGATCGATTATTGCATTAAATAAATCAATTTTTAAACATTATTTTTTTACAGTTGCGTACCTGGACTGAGCTCCGTGTCGTCCAGTAACAAGTCGCCGATGGTGAAGTCAGTTGGCTGATACTTGGCCTTTTGCCAGAACCAGACAGGTTTGCATTTGACAACTAGCGCCATGGGAATCAGTTTGCGTGAGTCATTGACTCGGGACACGTGGATGAGGCTTCCATCTGGGTCAATCTGACGGACGAAGTTGGCAGTAGCCTTGGAAAACATGGCTTCGGTCAGAGTGGACCACAGACGGCTGGAACATCACAGAGAGGGAGAGAGAGAGGCCCTGTTAAGGTTTCACTTGGAGCTTATTTTTAATCCACAGAAAGACAGAGACAAGAGACACAAGTGCCTTTACTGGAACAATACAACAGTTAAGAATTACTTTTTTGATTAAGTCGTCGCCTGTCGCACCAGATCAGAGTGGTGTGTTACAACAATCATTTAATTTTGACCGTTTCTGTTTCCTGTTACCAACTGCAAGCAGCGAGCCACAGACCTTGAGGGAAGTCCCCTACCATGTTGCAGCCATTTGTTGAGACTATTAATGTATGCCAATACTCTCTCTCTCTTTCTTTCTCTCTCTTTCTCTCTCTCTCAAACACACAACCCACCTTGTGGCTCAGCTTACATCGCATAAATATTTCAAGTGATCAGGCGTAAAAAAGGAATTTGTGATGTTAGGGAGAAAAGAGGCCGAACGAGGAGAAGAAATTTGATCCGGTGCTGTATTTTGGATCACGGATGTTAGGATTAAACAAAGAATTCAACGCTGGCTTAAGTCAGCTGATGTTGAAGCTAATGTAATCCAGACCTGTGAGGCATTTACAATGGTCACAATCTAAACACCACGAGACAAGAATTTAGTGTGTTGACTAATTAACTGTCACACCAATATAAATTTGAACTTTTTAAATATTTGAGGCATGTTTAGTGTGGCCTGGTCTGTGATCTGGGGAGAAACTACAGACAGACAAATGAGTACAGTCAAATAAATATATAAAAATTGGTACTGGATTATTTTCTGATCCTTAATACAAACTTTTATACCAAAGTCTCAGGGTCAAATGAGATAAAAGTAAAAATCTATGAACAAAAATAACTTTGGGAGATATGAACAAGTCAAAAACACCAGGGACACAAACCACACAGCAAAAAAAAAAAAAAAAAAAAGAGGTGGGAATACAAGATGCTGTGGAGTTACGACATTGCTGAGAACTTCTTGAGTGGGTTGGAAGCTAAACTAAAAGAATGAAGAATATATGCAGATTTTGAAAGAAATTGTCAAGCACTCAGCAGTAGATTGCAATTTTGCCTTCTAACAAAACAATTCAAAGAATGTTTGAAACCTTGTGAATGACTACAGGAGGTAAATGACTGAATCCTGTGGACTGTGACTAATGACAGGCGTCCTTTAAATTTGGATGAACTTGAAAAAAATTACCAAAGGGAAATGACCGTGGAATAACCCACAGACTGACTAATTGTTGTCAATAAATATTATACTATTAGTGTATTACTTGGTATCCTAAAAGATCATTTTTGGATCTTGGTCGTTCAAAAATGACATTAACACAATAGGCAAAGTATTTCTTTTAAAAAGTTGAGGACAATTTCCAAAGCCCAAGGTAAATATGACAGAAACAGTCCTGAAAAGGAAAGAAAAATAGCTACACACGCACGTGTACACACACTAACGTACACGCGCGTCTCCAGAGCGCTCATTTCCCGGAAGCCTCTTCATTCTAACACTGTCCATCTGCATTTCAGGCGTCCTTCTGCAGTGACATCAGTCGTTAAAGGCGCGTGGTTATTATTAAGATGATGAAGATTATGATGATGATGAGTATGACTAAAAACACACGCAGTAAAGATGAACGCGCTATAGACGCAAAGCAACAACACATCTTTACCTCTGATAAACCCAAACGATGACGTACACTTTACTCTCAGGTTATGTCACGCAGTATTATTTTTCTATATTTCAGACCAATGTGTCCTGTGAGTATAATAGGTCATAATATACTTACCTTATAATTGCTCAGAATCAGCTGTGTTGGTAAAGACGGCTGTGCGTCATGCGCTCCGGTTCAAAACTGCAGTCTTCAGCCTTGGAATGTCAGCACGTTTCCATGCGTAAAAGTAGCCGTGATTAAAGTGATGGAGGTCTGCGTGGGCTGGACCACCTTCGTGGGTCTTCTTGGGACTTTCTGAACAGATATAATGTTCGTAAGGAAGCCCAGGGAGCAGTGTGAAGGTTTGGGAGAGAGTGGTCTAAGAGGAGGCTGCCAATGGAAGGACTGCACACTGACTAGCCCACGCGTTTCTCCTCCCACTGTCACTGAAGTCTTAATCACAATCATATGAACCCTGCTCCGTGCGAGTGCGCGCGTTTTTCCGGACATGAGCTGACTTGTCTGTTTGAAGGTTATTCCTCTTTTTTTGTTTACAAAGTCACATTAAAAAGGGGAAACTATTCCAACCGTCTATTCCCAGCTCATTTGAATGTCATCTGCATAAAGCTGTGACTGGTTACCATGCACCACCTCTGCTGTAGGTGTAAATCAAAGAGTGCAATCTCTGGGTGGTGCATTATCCGGGCAGTGGTGGCTTAGTGGTTAAGGAAGGGGACTTGGGTCCAGAAGGCTCAGGTTCGAGTCCACCAGCTGCCAAGGTACCAGTGAGGTACCCTGAGCATGGCACTGTGCTTAAAGCTGCCTGTTCACTTTGGCACACTTTCCTTTCCTTCCTTCCTTGAACCGGTCCAGAACCGAAGTTAATATCACAGTGGGTGTGTCACAGTGGCTGTCATTGTCTGTGGTGATAAGAGACTTTTTCAGGGCTGTCAGGGAGGTGTCATCCAGATATACACATTGTTCTGTTGTGAACGTTCCCTCATGCTCAGACGCACAAGTTAAAGCTCAGGATTGTCCAGAATTAGGCTCAGTTTGGTCAGTCTTAAAAGGATGTCTACTAGTGTGGCTGGGAATTACTGCTGAATGTGACATAAGTATCAATGTCGAAGACAAAAATGTTATCATTTAGTGGTCAGTGAGAAATAAATAAATAAATTTCTAAATGACATCAACCAGATGAAAGAAATCACAGTGAAACCAAGACAAATCAAGACACTTCCTCCATGAGCCACTTGGTCAAGTTTGGTGTGAGCAGATTCAGGTTTATAATGTCATTCCACTACATCACAGTCCATCAAACAAATTTAATGTCATCTTTTTTCATACACAGGTATTATTGCTTTTTCCCCTTCAGTAAACACTGTATCCACAATTGTGATAGTCAGGACCGATTACGACAAGGCAGCAAACTGAAATAAGGCTGAAATCCCTCTTTGATAATAAGACCCGGTGATCAGCTCCTGGCTGAAGCACCGGAAAATACAGTTTTCCAGCGAACATCACACACTGTACACTGACATCATTCAGAACAACTCTGGTTAAAAGTGTTATTGCATAACTGCGGAAGCAGTTGATTGAGTGTAGCCCTACAATGAAAGGCACTTCTGTGAGAAACAAACAAACATGAACAAAACAAAACAACAATATGAACAGCTTAATGTGTCTACATCAACACATGGAATAACAACAGCTATGGTAAAAACAGGGGGAAGTAAAACTGATGAAGACTGTGCTGCTCTGTGCTAATAAAAATGGAGACAGGAAGTCCATATTGGGTTAGGTTACCATGACCTGGGGTCAGTTTTGATGACCTGGTCAAGACATTTGAAGACTGAACTTTGTTCAGTTCTATACTTCCCTCACTGCAACACATTATACTGGATGGTGTGGGTAAAATCTGCAGGTCACCACAACACGGGGAAGTCTACTTTGGTGAAGCCAGGGTCTCTGCGCTGCTCCCAGTATGTGTTGTTGCTCACCCACGTGTCATCCTTGGACTTTCTGTGGATGGAAAAAAACCCCATCTGATTGAGACATGAAACATTTAGGAAACTTCATTTGCATATTTAGTAGTGGTTCTTAACACCACACAAAGTGTCAGGATAGGATCTGCAAATTGAACAGAGTATGACTTGCATGAAAAAGCGAGGTTTATGTGTCATGTTGTTTTCCTGCAGCACCCTCCTCCTCTCCCTCTGAAGCTGCTCTATCCTCTGCTTCTGCTCCTCAGCTGCATCTGGGTTTCCCTCCTCCAGCAGCCTGGACAACGACAATAGAGTAGGTGACTTGGGATAAAATGAACAAGACAAAGCTGGTCTGAGCATCAATACTATACTATACAAGTATTACTATCTATACTGTACTATCCATGCAACAAGCAGCAACACTTTATACAGACCTTACTGAGAGTAAAAAAAGAACAATTTAAGGAAAGGAACTATTAAGGTGACTTCACTGAATCATGTACACCCCAAACACAAGGACGAGACGACGAGCCTTAAAGCACAGATAAATTGCAAGAGTTGGTCCTTGGAAAGAGGAAAAAAAAGACAGATCTATAAAGTAACTACACAGAAAATAGCCAACCTCTGGTCCGGCCTGAAGCGCGTGTCTGTAGGGGGCAGTAGAGGTCTGATCATCGAGTCCAGCTCGTTCAGCTCCACTGCAAATTGTGTGAAACCATAGTACTGCTCTTGATCCTTGGGCATGGGATCTACACACAGGCAGAGAGAATCAGCCGTTCAGTCTGTCCTTTCCTTTACGAACCTACTGTTTGACTCTAAGGACTTATCACTCACTTGCTCTCCAGATACAGGTGGCAGCAGGTGGGTCTCCCTGAAACACAGACTCATGCCATTTTCCAAATAGAGTGTGAACGGCTTTATTGCTTGAGTCTGTAATCACAGCTTCTATCTCATTCACCGTGGAGCTCCAGGACTTTGCCTAAAACGGTTGAAGAAAAAAAAAAGTCTCACGTTTTTTTCCTTTCCTCTATTTGTCCAGGAGAGGGCAGCGTGACTGCAATTTATGATCCATCATAGAAGTGAATAAGCAAATCTGCTCTGTGAGACGGGACAGCAAGTCAAGCACAACTGCATTCATGTCAAAATGAGACATCAAACAACAGCAGATGAAGAGTTAGCGTTTCTTATAATAAGGTATGTGTCTCTGAAACAACACAGCACTAACGCATGTGACACACCACAATGAAAGAAAATAATTTCCACACAGGTTTTACAAATGTTTGTTAGTCATTCAAGTTTTCACCTTGACAAATGTGACTTTACACTGGCAGACGTCACTGTTGACATTTTTGATAACCATCTCTCCGTAGTGTTCGATCCAGCGCTGGCCACTCAGGATGTTGTGAATGCAGGATGTTACTTTGTTCCATTCGTAATGGTCACCAAAACTGGGGGAACAACATATATATATAAATATTTATATATTAACCATAATGTATTAGATCATAAAAAAGAACCAAAAAAAAGCACAAGAGGACATGGGTTTTTATAATACAGACAGAGAATGTAATGATCAATGTTAACATATATGGTCCGTATATGCTAACAGTGAAGCACTAAAGTCCACATTTACCCTGGGAGTGTGACATGTGTGGTTCCAATGGGAACAATTTCCATAGATTTGCCCCAGAACTTATTTTTCCATCTGACATCTGTAAGAAAAAAAACCCCAGATGAATTATTGCGTAAATAGAACACAAGCATTCTGTTTTAGATTAGTTCTCAGGTCTGGTTGGGAAACAATGCATTCTTTTGATAAAGAAGCTGCTCTGTTCATGTGCTCCGACTGGATGTCTGACGTCTTTCTCATGTTTGAGAATGTCATTCTTTCGGTTAAAAGTCAATAATCTGTCAAAGTTGCTAACTTTTCTTAGTATCTTAAAGTTCAAGTTTTAACGTTTTGCAGTAACCTCAGACTACCTGATGCAGTTACTACATGATCCACCAGAGGTCCCTCTATCTGACGCATGACTATGGTTCCCTTTTTGCCCATCAGTAATTATTAAAAGATAGTTATGTGTAATTTTGCTGTTAGCAGTAAAGATAAGGAATTTTCCCAGACTGTCAAAAGACATCAGTTGAGTGTGAAGAATAAAAGGAGGAGCATCCTGGTTTTCCTTTGATAGAGAGCCCTAGAGCAGTGTGAAAAGCCAGGTAACCTAGTGTTGCATAACCACAGTTTTTACCCCAAACACAAACAAACAGAGGTGTGGTGCCACTGCCAGACGTTTGCAACCAGGGAAATCAAAGCAGAAGGAAAAAATGTGTCCTGCTCACCTTGCCAAAAGGAGAAGTTTCTAGAATCACAGTGACATGCTGAAACAGGCGGATGATGACTAACCTATGTGAAAGGGATAAAACATGAAGTAAAGACACTTAAACCATATCATTAGACATTACAGCTAATGGAGTGGAGCATTAAAACAAACAGGAACATCACCAACAACACTGACACAGAAGGATTTAGAGACTTAATGTTTTCCCAGAAGATAATTTACTCAGAGCCGACTGTGAATGTGGTACTAACAGTGTATTTAAAGGGACTGAATCACATGTCTGGGTTGTTAACCGTGACCTGTACCTGTTCAGCGATAAACCTGAAACCTTTATCAGGTCTGTCACACTCGTACGTCTCTCCCAGGACGGGGTTAAAGGGTTTGCTCCCTGCTCTGTGGTAGGTGGAAGCATAAGCTGATATGGCAAACGTTGCTATGTACACCTGTGAAGTAAAGCAGAGAGGTGACATGAGATTCTGTCCTGAGTTTGTCAGGTCAGAGGTCAAAGACTCTCCTCCAGCTGTGCAAAAGCTTGAGTGACAAAACAAACAAACCTGTTGACATTTGAACTACCAGACATGGTCAATACAATAATGCTGACATGGACAATAGACAAAGTGCATTTCTGTATTGATGAAAGTCTATGTATTTCCACGTATGTAATCAATGTTGTTGTGTCATCACCATTTTTTGTGATACAATTTAAGTCTAGTAAATGTACAGGTTTTAGTTTGTGAATGAGTAATTAATTTCATTAAATGTCAACAATTAGTTTCAGATACACTGTGTCTCACTCACCATACGTTTGAACGGGTCCTGGGTCTCATTAGCCGTGTCCAGGAGCTCACTGTACTCCAGCTCCTCACAGAACCTCTGCAGGGTGTTGAGAGGCTCATTCAGGTGCACTGGCATGGACACCTTGGACAGATCCTTTCCGATGTTGTTCCTCAGGATGTTCCACAGACTGACGCTGCTCTCTGGACAGGGAGCAGGGAGCATGCAGCGCCGCCGTGTCAAAGTCAAAACACTACTGACTGCAAAACACAAGACAGGGACAACAGGGATTTTTGTTTTCTGTTTCTGTCAACACGTGGTCGGCCACATTTGGTGCCATCAAACATCCCAGTCTCAAGAAATTGAGCCAGGATGACTTTCATATATACACTTAGCAAATGGGAATCTACATTACATTGGTTTTACTTACATACCATCACATACTAAGACAACCTGTCACTGTAGTGTACCTGAGTTGTGCCTTTCACTGCCTCCCTCGTTGCTGTAGGTGTCCATGGAGACCGTGTCACTGACATCACTGATGTAGGAGTCATCGTCAGACACCTGGAGATATATACACAAACAGATCAATGATGAAAGGTCAGCCATGATATGCCATCATATACAATACACACCAACCATAATGTCTACTATTAATCACTGGTCAGAATACTGACATACAGATTCTGAATTACTAGCTATTGTTGGATATTGAATGAATTAGTATTACTGGATTATCAACTTTTGGCAAATCCATTCATCAGGGTTTATCACAGCAGTTTCTGTGTAATTATTTTTAGATTGGATGCCCTTCCTGGCACGACTCCCCTCCTGGGTTGGGAATTAGAGATTAGGTGCATTAGAACCCTTGCAGCTTTATTAATAATATATTTAATACAGTATGTCCTTTAGGTAAGGACTGATGTTGATACAATTGTAAATCCAACATTAAAAATAAATTATAAAAAGTCTTAGAATGTATTTCCTCCTTCTTAAAACACATAACAGACTCCTTATTCTCTGTGGTTTTAGTGCATTGAGATTCAATCACAAAGGAAGGGAATCGGATGAGGTAAAAGATAGTGTCTGACCTCATTCTCAGATGAGGAAGAGGACAGAAGATACTCCTGAGCATCAAAGAACTCTGACACTGACTCGGCTCTGCTCTCATTGGATATCTGGTGGACCAGGGAGTGAGACGCGCTTGAACATTCCTGTTAAAATTTCGACAGCGTTCAGACATGTGGCATAGAACACGTGTGCTTTTTGTAGTGGAAAATGAAGAAATCTGAATTAAGAGAGCCACTCACTGATGCATAGGCAGTCTTCAAGCCTGTGACCTGCGCTGGCTGTGGAGGCTGGATGTCAATGGCTTGTCTCACTCGGTCTCTCTCTGCTACCAGGGAACTATAGGCTGATTTCAGAGTGGTGTGGACTGGAGCACAGTAAATGGCAGAGACAGAAACAGAGACAGCAGCTATAGAGTTGTCATGGAAACTATTTGACTATACAGGAGCGTCTTGTTCCTCTGTTCAAAGTAAATAAATGTTCTGTACAATCTTGCGGCGACAGCAGCAGGGACTCACGGTTATTGGCCAGTCTGCAAAAGTCCTCCTGCAGACGCGACGCCTCTGTAGGTGAGTCAGGGGAATCAGGACAGGCCTCCTGGGTGTTCGATTCAGTAGTGGACAGGTTGGGGTTGGAGGCGTGAAGACGTGGGGGCTTGGAGGAAATACAGCTTGGAACCTAAGGGACGAACCCAGAAAAAGGAACAGTGAGTCATTCTTCTGCCTTCATTCACACAGCTGAAGAATTAAATTAACAACAAACTCGAAAAGATGACAAATGCAGGCACTGCACCTGCAATGTGGCTTTGGTTTCTTTGCTACTGTTTTTGGATCGCCATCTCTTTGGTCTCTTCTCCTTTTTGGGAATATCATAGTTTGATGCCTGCAGAACCAACAAATAATATTGCAGCACAGTACAAAAATCTTAATGGAATAGCCCCTCACTGCAGTTCAAATACTGTGTCAAATAATCAGTTTCAAATACAGCGTCAACTAATACTCTGTCACATTAGGTTCAGAGGAAATCTCTACAAAGAGCTGGCATTACCGGAAGCGTTGTGATGACTGGAGCCGAATATGTCCGGTGGAGAACCTCCATGCTCTTCAGCAACATAGTAAGTTCATGCAAGTATGACTCACATTCCTCTAAGTCTGACAAACAAAATATCATCAGATTAAAGTTTCAATGGAGCCAGTCAAAAAAAAAAATGAAACAGCATTTGAGACTGTTAAATAAAAAAACACTAAAGACAGATGAAAATTAAAAACCGGTAATTTGGAAAACAAAACTAAAAAGAACCAACCTCTGCAGCACTTGTTCATGTCCTCTGAGGAATGGAGCCAAGAGCTAACCTTAGCCTGGTGGAATGACGCCTGTTTGGTAAGTGTAGCTCTCTATTTAAGAGAGAAACAAGAGAAAGAGAGGGAGAGAGACAGATTAGTAAGATGAGTAAAGAACCCGACATAACAACATCCCTGATGCATAAAAAGATTTCTTTATCTAATGCTTTTTTGGAAACTTACTTTTCTTAAAGAGTCACTGAGTGACGGGGAGGATGCGGCATGCGGGTAAAAGAGATGCTTCTCGTGGGGATAGGAGGAGATCTCATTTTGTCGAAAAACACGGTGATGACGCAGCTGGGACACCCACTCCTCAAACAGTTCTGGAGACTTCACCTGGGTTTCATCACGACAAAATTGACATGGACACAATAAATTTAAGTAAAACTTTCATGGTAGAAAACTATCTGCTTTCAAATCACACTGGCATTACCTTCAGGTGGTAGATATTATCCTCCGTGTCCAAGTCAATACACATGGCTTTCTTCTTTATTGACATGACCGACAGGCCGACATCAATACAGCCCAGGAGCTTTCCCTTCTTTAACTATGTGAACAGTATCATTATTATTGTTATAAATTATAATATATATTCATAAAGAAATAAAAGATGATGTCCTGGAGGTAAGACTTACATCAGATCCACGCTTTGCATACTTAAGGATGCCTTTCTCCAACACAAAGTATCTCTAGGTGGGGTAAAAAAGTACTTGGTTATTCAATAGTCAAAAACACCATTAAAATGCACGCGTGGCGCTTGATTCCAATTGACCTTGACATTCCAATTTCCAAACAGCAGTGATAAAACCACATGATAAGCAGTGTGTGAGGAGTTAATATACATGGATATTACCCCAGTTTACATGAACTCTTGCTCACATAATCCCTTCAATGAAAAAAAATCAATGCACTTAAACGTTTTCTAACGCTGTCTTTAGTCTTGTAAAGTTACTGTGGCAGTTTTGTCCTGTTTTCAGGATCACATAAACCACTGAGAAAAAGACGGAGGAAGATGAGTCAAGGCAGCACTGTTATCAGGAGGGAAAATATAGATGGAGAGAAGGAAAAAGAGAAGCAGACAGAAGAAGGGAATAGTTTTAAATAGGTTTTTCAAAAAAGGGCAGGTCAGATCAGAAGACAACATTTGGGTACAACAGAGCTGCATCTTTTTTTAAATGTGTATTCATAGAAATGAAAGAGGTTATTTATATTCACTTTGGCACTTTCTTAAAATACCAAATAGAATACAAATGGACAACATCCTGATATTTCCTAATCTGTCACTCTCTGCAGTAGCAGTAAAAAAAACAAGTGGTAAAAATAAGACTGATGACAGAAGAGTAGGCTGAAGATGAAGAAGCAGCATCTCTGAGATGACAGTATGCTGAAAAAGTTTATATATAAAAAAACAAAAACAAACGGCGCTCCATTGCTGTTGATGTCTGTCAGATTCAGGGGCTGCAGCTCAGTATACTGTACAAACCTTGTGCCATCCTTTCATGGGCCACTTCCTCTTCTTGAGCAGAAAGCCCTCCTGTTTGTCAGGCTCCTGGATGCTGGTAGGAACTCCTCTCAGGCCCTCCACAATTTCCCAGCTGTCCTGTAGGAGACACACAGTCACAGCACGCTTGGATGCATCATGTGACTACTAACAAGGGGTACTACGGAAATTAGCTTGGATGAATGTAAAATACCATGTCAGTATTAATAAGTGACATACACAGGACACGTAGTGTAAATACCTATACACTGTCCAATCACAAGTTAAAAACAAACCTTGTTGCTGCTGTCATGTTTAAAGGATCCACTGCTGTCGCTGTGTGTGGGCGATGACATCTTTGCCTGACTCATCTTCCTTTTGACCCCTGACACTTTGTTTCTGTGGAAACTGCAGTAACCCAAATCAAAGCGGAGCAGCCAGGAGCATCACTTTGACCTTTGAAGGCCACGCCAACAGTCAGCACTGTGGAGGAAGGTTACAAACACAGCTGATGTCAGAGCAGCACAGTCTCAGCCACCAGGACCAGACAATGGAACCACTTACTTACTTCCTACTGTCTATGACTATTTGTCGGTAGACTCAGTTTAAAGATAAAACGTCCAAAAAAAATAAAGCAAAACTTAACAAGCCATTTGTGCTTAGGAAGAATAATTTGAAGGTAAGTCTGGGTTTAAAAGGCACATCTATCTACTCAAATAAATGTTTTATGGTGGCATCATGTAGGTTTTATGATCAACCATCTCCATGTAAACAATAATGTCAATGCAGGGAATACAACATCGGAAGTCCGTGCTAGAATGGGCAAAGCGTCACATAAAACAAGGCTTTTAGTGAAATTTCATAAAAAGTTATTGCCACCACCTCCTGCTCCTATTTGCATGGGCCAGATGCCACGACATTAATGGGAAACTACAATATAAATCAGCCCCCATTACAATAAAAAAGCTAAAAGACAAGCGTATCTTTTACTAATATAAATCAGTATTTCTTGAAGCACATGCTGCCAAAATTGTCCATTGATGATTTGATTTGATTGATTTTCTAACTTTGTTTCAAGCCAAAGTTCTTTTTCCAAAGTTCATGACTCATTCACTCAGATGTCACAATCATTATCAGTCATTTTCCCTGAGAATGGAGAAGTTCATTCTTCTTTGGTATAAGGTTACACTGACAACCGGCCCTTCTTGTTCTCATGCATGTGTATACTACACCTGCATGTCAGCTCCGCAGCCGCTCCCTGTGTTTTTAATAAGAGAGCGCATTGCTCCCAAACTGCGTTAAATTCACTTTGCGTTTGTTTCAGCAGTTCCCCCGGGCCCTGCCAACAGCTAGTAACAAGCCCAGGACATGAGTCATCAACAGGAAAGAATGTACTCCATGTTTCAATACCCCTAACACTACAATACAGAGCTGGTTTAGAGTCAACAGTCTGCTCGCAGCAGAGTAAACTTAGTTACTTTACATCTCCCATTTACAAAGTGAAAGCACTTAAAGCACATTGACCAATAAAAGGAGCTGGATCTAGCTCTGTGTGCTGTTTGGTTTGCGCTTTCTCTGTGTGAGACCGTCTTTTGTGCAAAACTCAATGTAAAACTTCCACCCAGTTTTTTTTTTTTTACAATTAATGCAGTGATGTTTTTAACCAAAGTTAGCTATAGGAGCAGCAGCATAGGGCAAAGGTTTCAATAAAACATTCAGACATTCAGCTAAGTTTCCAGCTCTGCACACTTCCTTGCATCATAACCTGAGCAAAAACTGCAAATCTAAAAGCATCACTTCCTCATCGCCTGTGCAAACACCTTGTATTATAAATCATATAATATTTTTCTCCATGGATGCACTGAATATCTGCTGCCAGTGGCCAAACGTTCCACTGGGTGGCCTACTTACCCCCACTGAGTGATTACTGTAGCTGTGCACACCAGTGATCCTCCTGCACTGTAAGACTAGAAGTGCCAGGGTTTCGCCTTCACTGTTACGTAAGGAGTCAATCATTAATAGTTCAACACCGGACCGGTGTGTTTTCTCTTTCAGTGCACTGAAGACATGAAGAAAGAAACGTTTCTTTTTCTGTTACCCCTTTCATATGTATCAACCAAGAACAGTGCTACACCTACATAAAAGAAAAAAAAATCTATAACAATCTACTTGATTTTACAGAAGTTTTTATGGCATTCTGCTTCACCTTAACGACCAAACCTGATCTTCTGAGCAACATAATGAGTTTACAAAAGAAGACAGTCAATTCGTCACAACTACCAGGGTGCTTAGCATGTCTACAGCCAACGCATTTTGCTCATATTTACATGTGTTGTTCATACGTCAAAGCCTTTGTTTGCCGGTTTTAATCGCAGACTCTGAGGGCAATAAGGACGAACAATTGTCAGGTTGGACTTTCAGGTTCCGGTGTGACAAGCCTACCAAGTGTCAACTTCTCATTCAGTCCATCTGCTTTCAGTGGAGACACAATCTCTTAGCAGCAGGGCTGCTATCAACATGACAGCCGTCCACACATAGTTGTATTTCGTCCCCGTTATTGCCAGGCTGGGAATGCAAAAAGGGTCTTCACAGAACGGCCCCATCTGTGACGTTACATCCAATAAAACAACAGACTGAAATGGAAATGCTTCTTCGCAGATTTATGAAGCTAAAGCCGTACATGATCCAATGATAATCGAACTGGTATGGGTTAGATTTATATATGCTCACATCTGGCTGCATTATCAAGCTACTTCATAATGACTTTCAAAAACTATGTTTAATACCACCATTGTAGTTATCTTTAGTGATACTGGTTGTAATGTTGGGATGAGGAGGAAGTAACAGTTGGCTCTTCTAAACTTCACTAACCAACACAGTGACTGACGTGTTGTGTGGTTTAAAAATATTTATATATATTATATTGACGGCAACTTTTTACACAATACCTGTATTTGCAGTACAGAAAGAGATAGCGACACTCACAAGACACAAAAGAAGATGTTACATGACTGACCAGGAAGAAATCTATGGTCACACTGGTGTGTGCTTTGGTTCAAACCCAAGCAGATGATTTAAGTTCATTTGGCACATAAATAAGTCACCCACTAGACACTGAGGCTGGTGATACATCACAGTACCAAAATCATGTGAGCAAGGTCGACATCTTATTGGAGGCCTTTAAAATGTCAGTGACGACACTGTGCCTGCGTGGAATTTTCAAAACAATGCTGCAACCAGGCTGAATGTGCTCATTCACTGATCCAGATTTCTCTTTTGTTGGTTTGTGTACTTGTGTGGTTCAACAGTGTGGGGTGTGACGGACACTTTTGTAGAATCCCATCTTGTGACATCTTCTGGCTCTTTGTTGTCATTGTCAGACGGCTGTTGTTGTTTGGTGGTCTCCTTCTTTGTATGCACTAAATGTGTCTGGTAGCTTATCACAAAGAGAAGAGCCAAACCATGGTTTGTGTGAACATAGCATTCAAATCCAATCAGTATAGAAAAGTCAAAACAACAATTCCCATGGAACCAAGTTCCATTGCTGGATCTACTTGATTAGACCTGACACACTACTAAGCAAACCCACACCTCTTTAATGTTCTTATGCATCAATGACCTTTATTATTAATTATTCTTATTTTCTTTGAAATTGAATGTTTTATATGGTTATTTTACAGTGAGGTTGTTAGACAGATTGTAGTCACATGTTCTTCTTGTTTTTCTGCTTAAACAAGGGAAATAAAAATAAAAATCGAAGAACAAAATACTGTGCATTTATTTCTTTATGGAAGAACTGAGGGAACAAAAAAGGTTAATTTTAGAATCTGTGCCAGTAGCGGCAGAAATGGATTTTATGTGAGTATAAGTGTTAAATAAACCACTGAGGCTTGAAGTAGGGCGTCCTATAACCTTATAAAACCGGAACAGATCACAGACATTCTGTTCTCAGAGTGACCACTTGGATTATTTGTCTGGGCAGTTGTGCGCTGCATTCACCAGCTTTTAAGTTGGTGTTACATAAAGGAGGGAGTGATAGGGAGATAACTCAGTGACTCAGTCTGTCCACGCTGGATATTAAAGTTCCGGAATGTTGAAGCAGGAAATAAACATTACAGTTGAGCAGCCGTTAGTGGGATAACCAGAGACTCCAAAACCCATGCTCATGGCACAGTCCTCTCCCGCTGGGACTCAATATCTTACCAAGTAGACAAATGCTGACAAATTGTGCTTAAAAGCAAACAAAAGAGAGAAATTAAATGCATGCAACAGGTTTAAATCCAGTAGACGATACTGTATTGTCTTTCCTTGGTACCTTTCTACCTTACTGTGGTATTAAACTTTAATTACAGGCAGCAGTAGTACAGCACTGGTAGTGTACTATAATGGGCAGTGAGGGAAGGAATGCACCAATAGTTCTGGTCAGCAGTAATGCAACATGTGCCAGCTGTTTGGCACCTTCCCAAACATGCTCTGTGCACCTAGCTTGGACTCTACTTACTGTGCTTCGTGTACAGAATATGCAGTACAGCGGCTACTGAGCTAGATGTGCAAAGGTTTATTTTAGGAAATTAAATGTGAGTTTGATTTCCATGATTAGGACTTGTGGTTTGAAAATAAATTTTAAAGTAGATTATGTTTTTGGCTTATTTTATAAAGACTTCAATTATGATAATAGTTGTACAACTAATATTATTATAAACATATTAATATAATACACAATAATAATAATAAACTATAAGCTGAATGTATTATTAGTTGTACTGCTGCGATACTAATGAGAAACTGAGTTATTCCTGTCACATGTGAGTAATAGGTTTTCATTTGATTATTTATTCTTTTTTTTGCATTGTATATCGAAACAGCTTTGAAGGTGCTTTACCCAGACCTCCAGGTGTGATGTGCTTCACAAATAACACCCATAGGCCCCTAGTTTTGTTGACAATAGCCTAGTAACAGGCATGGCAGTTTGTGCCCACAAGCTGTCATGTGACTGTATGACAGTCTGGCAGACAGTGTTTCCATTGGCACTCATGCATAACTTGATCCTGTCTAGTCAAAATCTGTGCTCGGACACAGTATTGATATACAGTCCAAAAAAAACAGAGGTGAATTCAGGTCATTATGGTTCAATAATAATCACTATTTTATTGCAGACCCATTTGCCAATTAGGCCACAACGTGTGGGTTAATTACACTGACCTTCACTACTATAATCATTGAAAATATATTTTGATATAGTTGATATAGAAGAAAAGCAATCTAGCGATTTAGCTGTTCAGGCTGTCAAATTTAGTAGGGTGAAGAACATTTTTTTTAGATATTGCACATGCAATTTCACTCAATATCTAGCATGTCATACATTCAATCATACATACTTTATGGCGTGCAAAGGCATAGCAGCATTAATAGCCAGCAAACAATGCTATTATGGAAGAGGAATGCATTTCAGGTTGTGTCTAGTAATTATTGTTATGAATGACTTATCAACTTGCTAATTGTAGCAACACAACAGACAGTGCATTAACGTCTATAAAACACCTTCGGCTGAGATAATATTTATCCTACAAAGAGTCTGTTTTATGACCAGGAAATCTGAAATACTGCCCTCTACAGACTTACATAAGAACATAACTTTGACACGCAACTACTGTTCACTAGCGATAAAAAAGTATTATAGATCAAAAAAATAATTCAGACAATTTAGAAACAGTTCATATTTATAGCAGTCACAAACGAGGACAAATGTCACATTGAGGTAACACTGGTGTCACGTTTAAAACCACATACTCATTCAGTTCCTGGTTGCAGGCACAGCAAGTCAAACTTGTCAGTACAGGCTGAATGTCCAATAAAACGTAAAAGCTCGTACAACGTCTGCTCACACGCCGCAGCCGCCGACCCTTACATTGCCTCACGGCCGCTGTCGTCAGTAGCAGCAAATGTCAGCAGGCAGACCATGAATAATTCTATCGAAAGCCCTATCAGCCTGTCTGTCTTTATCTGAGTATCAGCGTGGCACAACGGTCTTCACCAGACACGACAGGCGCTCTGAGAACTCAACCCGCTGGACTTAAACGGAAGCGACACCGTAGCTGTGACTAACACACGCATACACACATTAAAAAGTCCTACCAGAAATAAGTTGAAATAGCTTACGGTTGCGTTGAAAAATGCTACAGCATCCTCACAAGTCTGCACAGATGTATATCGAAAGGGCACCGAGACTCTCCTGCACCTCGCTTCAATGACTGTGGTTGTTGAAAGGGGCATGGCCTGAACTATGGGAATGGTTGATAGGCGTCTAAAAGAACCAATCATAACCGAGAGTTTAGTAAAAGGGGGCGAGGTTCAAACGAAAGGTAGGCCACGAGGGTGGAGCAAAATTTAAACGGAACGTAAATGACGTAAACAAAAACGAGAAGGTGAGCGTTAGGGCAGCTCCCAACTCTCATGTTAGTAATATTATGCTCATTATTATAATAGATTAAAATGTTGGTAGGAAATACTAAAGGATCTCATTATGAGTGACTATGAGTTTTAGTTGGTTTTTAAGATTAACCTTGTTTAATTTTGTAATTTCTACTGGTAAAGTTGAATAATTTGAATGACTTCTTCTTCTTTAATCCACATTACATTGAGGAGACAACGTACATGGTTTGTCAATATTACAATACAAAAGTATAGTAAAGTATTCGTCCACATGGTGGCGTTCATGAAGAAAACCTGTTATTTGCCTAAATAAAAAATCCTGACGATAATGAAAACACCTTATATTTTCAATGAAAGGTACACTAGTAAAAGAAAATGGTTTAAATGTGACAATGAAACTTTAACCCATTATCACATTATCACACATTACATATGATTTTTCATGTTATATATATATATATATATAATTTGTCACTGTGACCATGTCACTCTACCACAAAGGTACAGTCAAACACCAAAACAAACAGTAAGACACTACACGCCTATGTTTACCTAAATAACTTAAAAATACATTTAATTGCACAAAATTATTCAAATTATAGGACATTTGCATTCAACGTCTTTGAGAACTAGGGAGCCCTTAAGTTTCTCAATTTGCCAGTACAAAAAAAAAAGTTAATACCACTGCTCTACATGCTAGAGGTTACCCATGTGTTGTAAATGGAAATAAGCTATTGTTTAATCTCAACAAACTAACTGTTTTTTAATGTTGCACTGCTGGATCAATATTTGGATTGTGGGAGAGATCTGGTGTTACTCAACGATGCGTCAGGTCTTCATTGCTCCATAACATGGTGCACAACTCCGATGACTGTCAGTGCTTTCCTGGTTTTCTACAAGTCTGTGGTTCAGTGAGTAAATGAGAGGGGTTGTGTGACTGCTTCCAGCATGAATGGGTTCCTGTTTGTGCGTTTCTATGTTTGATGAAGTTATGCACCTCACAAATTCCAGGGAAAGTCCTGCTCATTCATCCCGCCCGACCCCCATTGTTTTTTGTAGCCCTTCCAACTACTTTCGAGTGTGTTTACCTAAGAAAACAAATCCCCTTCTCCTTTGCATGGGCATGAGGTTGTCACTTCCTGTCTGGGCTTATTTCTATGGCAACAGAGGGAAAGGGAAAACATAGGAGAAAAAATATCTTAGGGCTGGCTGGGTGTGGCCACAAACTGAGCACTGACAAAATGAAAGGCAGTGCTTGGACTGTGAAGGAATGCAGTGTGTTAGGAGTGACAGAAAGAAACTGAATGTAGGTGAAGGTTGGATTCTGGCATCACATTAAACATCACTTTAATATCTACAGAGCAACACACCCTGACAACACAAACACACACTCCAAAGCACACCTCTTTACTCCTCTGCATCCACCCATAGATATGGAATACTGAGAAATGAATCAGAGTTAAGGGTGACTTTCATGTATTTTCTTTAACATCACTCAGGTCTAATTTTAGACATGAATGGTGATGATTATTAGAAGACAAAGTTTGAAAAGACAGTGTGAAAAGGTTATACATGATCTTTTAAGTCCCCGTATGGCTCTTTAACTATTTATATCATTTCTCATCTTTCTGTCACTCTTATATTCACGTTCACACATAGTGAGCAGATATTATTTGACAGTGTCATCTCCAGGTCATGTGTGATTACTGCACACGTGGAGGAGGATGTTAGTGATGACAGATGCAAAAAGAACAAGAGGAGGATTTTACACCGAGGAGACGTAAAGCTCTTCTCAATGTTGACCTTCAAGTCTTACGTGCCCTTGAGCAAAACAGAAATGGTTCCATTTATAGCTGATCCTAACCTCTCATCCCTGATCATACTGACCCTGGACAAAAGCTAATGCCTGACCAATCCTTACCTGTCTTTTGTGGCAACTCTTTTTCAAGTAAGTATTAGGGCTATTTAAATTTCATAGAATTAAACAGTGCAGTGTGGTGTAACAGGTTTATTGATTATCACTGTCTTCCCCATTTCCATTCAATCATACTGTATGAGAACACATTATCAAGTTAATATGGTACGGAGGCTCATATGTAGAGAACCTTTAGTTTTAACATACTATTTTACAGGCCTTTTTTAAAGGTTAAAATACTTTATGAATTTCTTCTGCAGATTTATTCTTCTTAACTTTATTTTAGTTTTATTTGCATTGTACGGCACATTTTCAACAGTTACCCTGTTTAATGAAATTAGCATTTTGACAAAGTGTGCTGTATGCAAATAACATATTTTTAGGCATATGCAAATTATTTTTTTTTTTATGATCTGCTGTTTTCAGTGTGTAGTCAAATATGTTAGTAGAAACTTTAGCTTTAAGGGCCTTTTGTAATATTTTGCACAAGATCTTTTCATATAAATGTACTGTATATTTTTATTATTATTTGCCTAACTACTGGCTATAGTATACAGTATCTAGTTATTTTAATAGTATAATTAACAGAATGATTGATTACTGTACTGTACTGTTACTAGATGCAGTGACGTTCAATGTCAGCAGAGGGCAACGTTGCACAGAAACAAAATCGTAATGGGACTGAGTTCAACAGCTGCAGCTCAGATGTCTTAGCTTGCTAATTTACTGACCCACTTTGTTCTAATGACTCAGAAAGCTCAGAGACACTGTGAAGCCATGTGTGTACACAGTGTTAGACTAGGCAGTCCTACTCCAGAGATCCTGAGCATATGTGTGCATATTTTTCTGCTTTCATGTTTCGGGCAGCTTTGTTACTGGCGATCACATATTTGGAGGGAATTTCTGTTGCTGAGTCTCCAGCGTTATCTTCTGTGCAGCTCAGTGATCCTAAAGATCTAAAGGCATTGCATTCCCTCAGTGTCATTATGTGATCGAGGCTGATTATGTGCATGCAGACAGTTAATATCAGCCCTTGTAGATCAAAGGGTGGCTCTCTCAACACACACACACACACTTGCACACACACAAACCACTACACCATTGTCCTTATTTATCTAGGTCCCCCTTTGAGTCTCCCTACTCTTTCAACAGGGCAAAAGCATACACTCTAATTTTTTCCAGATGACAAATACCTCCCCTACTATTTCTCTTGCCCTCCCCTTCCCCCCCTTCTCAAGGGGTCAAGTGAAACGCTAATAAGTTCTCCCGGCCTTCCTCATTTTCCCCCATATGTCCTCACCCTTCAACATGTTCCGATATCTGTCCCACAGTCCAAACGTGACCCCTGTAGGTCAGGCAAGAGAAGCTCCAGTGTTCACAAAAGCAGAAAGGAATGTTTTGAAAATGTCTTTTCCACATTGCATGATGGGCCTGTGTTGTTGCCATTTGTTATTTGGTCCGCTGGCTGTTTGTGGGAATCTTTTTTTTTTTATTCCTCTGAACATTTTGATGCTAACGTCACTATATTGAAGTTTTAGGTTTTGTAGAAAAGGACCATATCATTGCTATGACAGGACCGTGTCCCCTCTGTTCTTTCCCCTACATCTTGCCCTCAATTTTCCCTCCTGAGATGGGAACCAGCTGTAAAGAACTGAGCAGGGGAGTATTAGGAATTTGGATCCTAGCAGGCATGGGGCCCAGGTGTTCTCTGCTCTCTTTTTCTCTAATTTATAAATAATTAGGTACACTGTACTGACTGTATCATTCTGCGGAGCACGGATTGATAGAGGTCGTTTTCAATCTCCGTTCTGGGCGGCTGACTCGGCCGTACCGCTGCACATATGTGTTTCACAGAGAGGATAGAGACTCTAATACCATCTCCATCTCACTCCAATCCAGTCACTCTGTCATGCACCACCAACATAAAGACACACACACATACACTGCTAATGTCTGAAAGCATGGGCTAAATGTATGAATCTCAGCTCAAGCTAAAGCTCTTAATGATCCCAGCAGCTGTTGCTCATGTAAACTCTCCCACCCCCCCCCCCGCCCCCCGCGGCGCGGCACACCTCATCCCCTCTTTCCTTCCCTCTGCTCGACCATCCTGCCTTCATTCTTGCTGACTGAGTAATTAAATCCCCTAAAGCAAACATTAAGTTTTCACTTAATGTTGTATACCGAGTGTATAACACTGATCTGGGAAATAAAAAAAAAGAAGAAATCAGCTCTGTACATGATGTCTAATCTGATCTGTGTTCACATGACAACTGTTTTCCATACAGACCTTCTATTCATGTCTACGTAAACATAGAGATGATGACACATGCAGCTGTTGCCATTACATGATAGCCTGGTGTTTTTTCAGTTCTAAGAAAAACAACATTTAAATATAATAGCGTGTCATCTGCATAAAGATGCATTTTGACATGGCGAAGTGTAAATCAAATTGAATCCTCCTCCTGCTGACAACAATTGCAGGAGCTCATCTGAACAAATCTGCTATTTATCTCTGCTCATTAAAGCTCATCACTGATTACAATGATAAGCCCCAGTCAAGTGTTACATTACCTAGATTCCTTCCATATGGCTTGTCGACGTGATGTATGTTTGGCCTGCAGGGAGAAGCGGGCCACACAGATCCCCTCTGCACTCTACAATAGACTGCATATGTTTTCACATGCACGACATCCTGCTGGTTTGTGACTTTGTGAGGCCCTCATTAGGACCTGTTATATGTATCCTGTTGTGTTTGTGTCTGTGTCTGCCTGTTGGTTATTAATAGTTATTTTAGGATCACGTGCAGGGTTTCATCCTGGGTCTTAAAGATCTTTGAAGTCACGTGCAAATATGTGTGCAATCAGGCTTTAGCTTTTGACCTCAAGATTTTTGAGGTCAAAGCTCATGCTATAAATAAATGTATGAAATACTGTTCGACATTCATTTAAGCTAATGAGAAATCACTTATAAAGCCCATAATCACTTCCATGTGATTACTAGTTTGGCATGATGATGCTGCCTTCACGTGCTGCAGAGAAGACGATAAGTATTCCTATTTTTTGTATCAAAACAAAGCAAAATCTGTTATAATCTATGTTCTTTAATTGTTTAAACTAGTTTGAACTGCACATTCTATTTTTGCCTTATTGTCCTACACTGCATTTACACTTGTTGTCTAAAAATGTACTGTATATAAGTAAAAATAGAAGATGCTTACGAAGCCTTTCATTTGTTGACTAATTGGCTAAAATCTTCATTTCTACACACGTGAAAAGCATGTGTGTGTGCATTCACCTCAATGACCTAGATTCTCTCACAAGTTCCCACACACATTTTACATTTGTCAATCACGAGAAGGAGTCCCTCCACCTACTCTGTCTCCCCCTGTCTCTCCCACTGATGGCATTGGGTTTCCCACATGCACTCCTGCTCTCTCTGCTGAGAGACTGAAATGTCATATGGCCAGTTGATTGGACCGTGAGAGGCCCAGTGAGAGGAACAGAGTGGAGGTGAAAAGGTGGTCTGTTGAAGCACGTCTGTGGGTATCACAGAGTACAGTATTCAGGTCAGTTCCTAAACACTCTGAGATCCTTCTGTTCCACCAAGAATGTCCTAATCTTCCATTATTTTAAGTGATGACAGTCGTTATAGTGAAGGGAAAAGGACATAAATGCAAGAGAGCAGCTAAACAGGCACAGACTAGTGGTGGGCTGAAAAGCTGTTTTTAATAAAGACTGTGTTGCTGGGTGTTGGTGCCTTGGTTCAACACCAAAAGACTTTTTTTAACCATTTTAATGGGAAAAAATCACAGAAAGTTGCAATATCATTTCGACAATTTCAGTTGTCGTTTGTATGAATATGTTCAGTACTGTGTTAATACTATAGTTTTGTAATAAAGACTTTTTTTTACTATTTGACCTGTTGTACAATTGAAACTGAAACTTCTGTGTGTGTTGTCTTACATGCTATCTTTCTATAGTACTGGTCTGCAGTAGAATGAGCCTGGAATGAACTAGCCATTAGTGTAGCTCACATCAAGGTATAAAAAAAATAGACTACAGAACACAATGAACACTGTACCTAGAATGAAACACAGAGGGTTGAGTTTGTAATCCTGTGATGCTAAAATCTTGTGATATTATGGTGAAAGGAACTCAAGATCATAAGGAAAACCTCATGAAATAAGTCAGAAAATATGTATTGATATTTTTTCCAACTTTAAGAATACTTGAATGTGATGATGTTTTTTTATTACCAATTGTAGTAAATGTTACTGACTGGCAAAGCCCTGTCCTAAATCTGTCACATTCTCATTCTTTGACCATATTTAATCCCTTATATTCATCTTTTGCACACTAAACTCTCAGTATTGCCTCCTTCATTCTCTCTGCTTCTCTGACTGTTGCGTCAATACAACCTTTTACGTATTAGAACGTCAACCTGTGCCAAAGAAAAAAAGAAAAAAAATCGTGTGTGCAGCTAAAACTCAAACCGGTGGTGTGTCATTAAGCAACTGGATCGGTCCCACTGTGTCTGAAGCCAAATCTAGAAATGTTTTTTTCCTCAATGTGTGTGTTCCTCAGAGAGCTGGATAGATTGAGTTGGAGGAGGAAGAGCAGGAGGAAGGTTGAGGGATCCTATAGAGAAACAGCCCAGACGGGAAATGACCTCCCAGGGAGTGCGGGGGCTTCCCCAAGGGTAGAGTTTCTCTGTGTCTTTTCTTTACCCAGTTCACAGACACTTACTCACACACACACAGCTATAATGCCTGCCTATGATGTCTACCAGCAGATATGCATGTGAATGAGGCCAAGTCAGGGAGTGCTCTGTGTGGAACATACACCAGCATTCACACATTAGCTCAGCTCTGGTAACCATTTTAATCACTTGAATCTTAAGGGCACACACTGGTGCCCGTATGAGTTACGGCTGAATAATCTTAGCACTGTTAGCACGCCTCTGTATATCAACATCCACATGTGTGAATAGTTAGTGAATTAATCGAGAAGTATAAATAAGGAATTGAAGCAGTTTGTGCAAATTCTTAACTAAAAATAGGGCAAAGTATTTCGAATCTGAATCTGAATCAAAATGGTGAGAAATGACTGTAAAAGGCCGAAAAATATTAGGTAAATTTTTAAATAGCTCTAAAGTATGTTAGCTAAGTACATGTTGATGTTTGTTAGTGTAAAAGTTAGCCAAAGCAGCCTGAAAAGAAAAAAAAAAAAATGACTGGATGTCCAGCATTTACTTCATAAATATAAGTCAATCTTTTTTTATAGTTCTGGTCAAACTTGACCTCGGGGTGATGCTAAAGGTCAGGAAGGTACAGCACCTCTAATGACAAAGTTAGCTCCAGCCTGCTGCAGTTCACCGCTGAGTTCTGCCCAAATCCCTTTCGCTCCACATTGTTCCCCCTCTTTCATGTCGGAGATCTTTAGCTCAGATTTGGCACTTCTGCTCTCCAGTCTTTACACACTCTGCGACTCACATTCCTCCTCTGCAAATGTGAACCATCTGTGCTCCTTATGTCGCCTTACAACACACTTAATGAGAGAACGGTTAATTACAGTTGATCTGCGTAATGATGGCCTGTGCACCGTGCACCGAAATGTTTTCATTCCCGTTTGACTCACTGCGTCTGTACTGTTTTGTCTGTGCTGGCCAGACTGTAAATCCCACGGGAGGTAGAAAATGTAGCTGTTCTCTGTGTGAATCACTCCTCATACCATATAAAAAAAACTGTGTAACTGTGTTCAAGTGCTTGTTAAGAAGCAGTGACCGTCTGGCTCATGGTGCACACACTCTGCGAGGGAAACAAAGACTTTGGGAATCTCGAGGGATTCCGTGGGATAGAGATCTTCCTGTCTGCTTTGTCCATACCAGGGATCTGATCCAGATTTAGACCCCTGGTGGCTGGGAGGCATAAAAAAAACAACACTTTTTTTTAAACCTTCCTACCTTTCCCCCTTTATCTCTAATCAACCTTTCTCTGTTAGAAATTAAAATAAATAAATAAATAAAAGGAAATCTCTGAGGATTTGGTGAAGGTCTAATATTAAAGTCTTAATATTAATGTAGAGGTTAATAATGAATAATATAATTAATAATTACATCAACAATTAATATTGATAAGGGGATGAGTGTGTGTATATATATACTGTATATGTCTGCCTTTAACAAAATTAGTGGGAGGGACTTATTTGTGTGTGTGTGAGAATACATCTGTATATGAGTTTGTGTGCATGACAAAACAGAGAGGGGAGAGGGAGAGAGAGAGAGAGAGAGAGAGAGAGAGCATGCTCAGCGCTGCTCCTGAACCCTTTTTCGCTGAGCCGTAATTCACAGCAGATGACCTCTCGGGGGGATGGACTCTCTGCCTCGGACTCTGGGAGGTGGAACTCCTCACGCACCACCAGATCGCAGCATTAATCTGCATTGTTTCTAGTGTGCACGAGGCTCCTCAGTGATGGAGCCCCGGGTCTGCGCGCCCCACTTTTGCAGCACAGCTTGTGGATTATGATCTACAGGAGCAGCGTCAGAGGTGAGAGGGGCGACAGCACCTGAACGCCACACGGTTTCGGCTGTGGGGATGGATGCCAACAGTTTGCTGACAGTTTGCTTCCCCCTGCTCCTCTTGCTCACCGGCTGGGCTTCTACTACAACAAGTGCTGCTGCAGTTGCAGCTGCAGTTGCTGCAGCTGCAGCGGCTCCGGGCTTTTGTCCTGAGCGCTGTGACTGTCAGCAGCCGCACCACCTCCTGTGCACCAACCGCGGGCTGCGCGCTGTGCCCAAAGCTTCCGTCAGCGTGCCTGAAGAGGTGCTGATCTTCAACCTCGGGGGGAACTTCATCAACAACATCTCTGCATTCGACTTCACACGGTACAGCGACCTCGTCAGGTTAAATTTACAGTTCAATCAAATACAGAACGTTCACCCAAAGGCTTTTGAGAAGCTGACCAAGTTGGAGGAGTTGTACCTGGGACATAATCTCCTGTCAGATGTCCCTGCTGGAACTTTACAAACCCTGAGGAAGTTGACTATTCTGTATGGAAATAATAATGACATTAAGAAAGTCACTCCAGAGCTGTTCACCAACCTGGATAATCTGGTCAAATTGCGCCTAGATGGCAACTCGATAGAGGTTCTGCAGGACTCTGTTTTTAAAAGTCTGAGCAGTCTGCATTATCTCCATCTAGAATTTAACAAATTGCTTCACATACACAGAAACGCTTTCTCCAAACTCGCCAACCTGCGCTTTCTGAACCTGGCCCACAACAAGCAGTCAGCCCTGCGCAGCCTCCTCACTTTTTCTCAACTCAAAGCACTGACGACATTGCTGCTGTCTGAAAATGAAATCCAATCCATCGGAAACAACGTCTTCCAAAGCCTGAAGAAGTTGTCCAAGCTGTCCCTGAGCAACAACAGGATCTCTCATCTGGAGAGCGGAGCTCTGACGGGGCTTTCCAGCCTCCGAGAACTCCTGATTGATGGCAACGCACTGGAGGAAATCCCCGCTGGTCTCCTGGACCCTCTGGAGCGCATAGAGGAGCTCGACTTCAGTCGCAACCAGATCGCTAATGTGCACTCTGCAGCGTTTTCTAAGCTGAAACATCTGAAGGTGCTGAAGCTGAAGAACAACTTCCTGACCAGTCTGTCAGGCGACATCTTCGCCCTGAACAGTGTGCTGTACGACCTGGATCTTAATGGAAACAACTGGACGTGCGACTGTCGCCTAGAGGAGCTGAAGAAGTGGATGACTGCAGCACATTCTCGGGGCAAATTGTTGACTGTTTTCGTGCAATGCCACCACCCTGCAACTCTGAGGGGCAAATACCTGGACTACGTGAACAGCTCCCAGCTGCAGCCGCACTCCAACTGGACTCATCTGTGCAGAAGCCAAGCTCAGCCAGAGGAGAGCTGGGGAGGAGAGGTCCTGATGAAGGTGAGAGGAAAAGAGATGATAGATGCGGTAAAGCCGGAGGGAAAGGGAGGAGAAGATCAGGAGGAGCAGGCAGGAGGTGCTGACAGAGGAGTGAAAAAAGAAGCAGAAAAATGGAACAAAGAGGTTCAGAAAGAGTTGGGAGTCCAGGGAGATCAGGGGGGAGAAGAAGTGACAGAACCCTCTTCCTCACCGGAGAGAAAAAAAACAAAGATGTCACTCAGTCCAAGGTCACGACCTGGGGCGGAGGCAGCTGGGAAACGGGTTAAAGGACGACAAAGATGGAATGTCGTTTTCAGAACGGATGCACCTGCCATTTCCACACCAGGTATGGGAAACACCACTGATGTTAACTCAGAGGTCACCACAGCTCCTCCGGAGTCGGACCAAAGGTTTGATCTCCTGATATCAGATCAGAAGCTGGGTCTGCCCGTGATCACAGATCCTTGTGTCTTCAACCGCCATTTCATCACTAACGTCTCAGTGGACCACGTGACGTCCAGCACTGTCACTGTCTACTGGACCGTGAGGGATCATCACCCCTTCGCTCCAGGATCTGGGCCAGGCCTTGACGAAATCCACTATCGGATCCTCTTTGACCGGTTTGGCGCCGCGGATCGTTTCCCTCGTTACGTTTACGCCCACGGTGCAGCTCGCTCCGTGACGCTGCGGGAACTCAGCTCAGATCTGACCTACATCGTCTGCATCGAAGGAGTCGTCGGAGGGTCCGTGTGCCAGGTGGCTCCACGTGACCACTGCGCGGGCCTGGTCACTCTACCTGAGGTGCTCACCCGTGGAAGCACCCTGACTTCTGACCTTCAGCTTGTTACCGTGGCGACCCTGGCTGGAAACGCAGTGCTGCTGCTGGTGATCGGTGGGGTCTGGTTGGGGCGATTCGTCAGGAAGCGGTTGCAGAGGAGGAAGTCGGCCGTGCACGTGCGCCACATGTACTCCACCAGGCGGCCATTCCGCCCCACCATGGCCACTACTGCCTCTGTGGCCACCGACTTCACCAGCTACCAGAGCAGCCGTCCGGCACGGATAGCACCCCTGGAGGAAGGGGATCTGATTGAGTTCCCGTGCGACCGCTTCCTGGACAGCAGCAGTGTCCGCAGGGACGGTGAAATGCAGAGATTTTCTGACTAGATAAAATAAAACATTTGAAAGCGTTGACACTGTACAACAGAATGTGACTTGGCTTTGTGCTGCAATTTTTAATCTCTCCTCTGTGCAGTTCCACACTTTTAACATTTATATCTCTGCGGTCTGAACAAAGCAGTTGAATAGTCCCATCACACAGAGGTTGGATTTTCATCCAACCCACAGAGCAACAGTTTTAGTGACCACAGAACAGCTGAGCTCATCACGGCCGCTTCAGACACCAGAGGAAGTCTAAGCCCCTGGACTTCCTCCTCCTGCTTTGCGCCTCTGCTTCTTTCACTTCCTTGCACCTGTGGCTGTGTGTGAATGTGTTGATTTGTTGTGAGAGTGCCTGTGTGTCTGAGTCATGGACCACTGATTTCAACTATGGTGCTAGTGTCGACTTCAGAGACGTCATACTGTCTCACAGTGTACAGTTTTGTAACGATGGCTGCTGGTTGGCAGATACTTGTTTGTATGATATGTATCGTGTTTTTATACCTGAATGAAACTATGTATTATTTTCTATTACATGAAAAAGTAAACTCCCCAACAATGTGACAGATGTCATTTGATTGGTTTCTTTTCAATATATATATATATATATATATATATATATTTCAAAAAGACAAGGTTTTCTAAGTACAGATTGAAGTAAGTTAGTACCAACCAATAGTCAGGTACTGGGTCTAACATCAATGATGCAAAGAAAACTAATTTTAGCCGATTAACTATCGGTTCACCCAATAAAGTCAACATTTCTTAAACCTGAAATGCTCCTTTAATTATATTATTTGACAGTTTGTTGTCCAATACATTTTTCACCAATGTCCGTTTACAAAATCAACACATTTACAGCCTGGCTGACAGCAGCTGTTAATCATGTATATGAATAATGTGTTATTTTGTGACTTGGTTTGATTCATTTCCTCTGTTTGGGTTCATGTGTTTACACGAGAGAGCAACAGAGCACTGGCTCCAAAAATGTCAATTTTCTCTAATGACTTTTTCTGCACTTAAGATTTCAGAACAAAATGCAGATTCTATGAGCTCACTCACTTTATAAAGTCACAAAAAACCTTTCTTCCCTAATGTGTTCCTGCTGTAAGCCATGTTTTTACACAGAGGAAATGCTTGTGTGTCAGACTGGTTCTCGGCCCCAACGCCGGGACTGTGTGTCAGTTATTCAAGACATGATTTCATCTTGAAATTCTTAACTGTGCCTTTAAGTGATTTGATTCCAAAGGGAATAGTGTGTCTAGAAAACATGTGGTGAAATAATATATCCCATAATACAAGGCGGTTTGCATTAGCTTGAAGTTTGCTTCCAATTTAATTTAATGTACAGCCAACTGGGCTGCTAACGTATTAGCGTTGTCCTGTAATGATTAGCAACCCTTTTTTTTACTTTTCTCTGCAGAATGTATTCAGTTTATGTGAGAGAAAGCTAGAAACATGTGTGAGGCATACACTAAAAATAATAGCTGAAGTATGTTGGTATGTGTGTGTGCATCTCTCGCTCTCTCTCTCTGTGTGATTCCATTTTTGTATGCGTGTCAAGATGAGATCTGGCAATAATTATGCAGTCCCTTTTGTTTGAACAGACAGGGTGGAGTAACTCCCACTCTCAAATCACATTCACACATGCTTGCATATACAAAGGCACACACACAAATAGTTTGTGCACAAAACCAAAGTTCACATAATCAGAGGGTCAAGGTTTCGTATCTTGCTGCTCCTCTGAGCTGGATTATACGGTACTCCAGGACACTTTATGATGTGTTTTTATAAGGCTGTAATAAACTGAGACATCATTGTTTATGAATAAACAAAGACAAGGGCTGAACAGGAAATGACATCATTTATAGTCGGCTCCAGTCAGTAGGTAACGCGACAGCAAAACAACTGCCACTAGATGGCAGAACAGGCCATGATGTGCATTGGCTTCGAGTTGACGTGGATGTTACGTATTTTAAACCACTGTTTATCATAATCTTAATGTAGGGGGTGAACTTTAAAGCTCCACATTACAGCCTAAATAGCAAAAAAAAAAAAAAAGAAAAAAAATCTAATTTGATACATGAACTGAAATTTGATACATGAACTGGTTATAAATATAAATATATTAATGTTAACTTAAATACTGGAATATTCATATTCTACAAATCCTTAAACCACTGAATAAATACATAAAAATAAAGGTCTCTGTTGATAATCTGAAAAAAGTATCTGGGTGAGAGAGTTTCAAATAAAGATAATCAGGAAAATACCAGAATAGGTGCAGTTTTTATTTTTTTAGCAGTACATTTACAGCGATTGCCGTTGCCGTTTGCAGTGTACAAAAAAGTCCAAAGTGTAAGTTAACACTGTCAGGGCCTGAGCAATGAAGTGCAGTTTTTATTACTCAGTATGGAGTCGGTGTGATCTCACACCCTAAAATAAACGTTATCTTTAATTATGTCCTCCTGTTAGTCACATGTAGAAAAATACCGTTTTAAAAAGCTGACTGATTCAGAGAGAAGGCATAAGGTGAGCTGCTCCGAGTTAGTGCAAGACATAATAGCAAAAGACTGAATCATCCACTGAGTGACGTGTGTGCGCGGGCTGCAGACACAGACACATAAGACCATTTCTTTTTTAAAAACAAAAACAGGAAGCGGCCGCTACGAACATCACAGTTTTTAGAGCAAACCTTTAGCAAAAGCGTGTGTTTGTGCCGGTTATGGATGTTAAACTCTCTCTCTCTTTCCTCCTCTCATTAACTGTATGTCTGAGAGGGTTGTTCTGAACTGTTCAGATTTGATGTGGATGTACAATTTAAGACACACCCAGAGAAAATGAATTCTCTTGAAATTGTTTCCCCAGTGCAAATACTCGGACTTTTTTCAACACAACTCTGGCTGAATTTCAAACATCCTGGCAGGATTTCACCGCCTCCACAGTTTTGTTCTAAGTTTTGAGCAGTTTTCTCCCCTCCTTCTCCAAATTTCAGTTTCTCTCTTCACACATCTCTTTTGGAAGATTTTGGAACCTTTAGCACGGAGCTCTTTGAACTCCTTAAAGATACGTTTTTGCTCCTCTTCTTGACACTTGGGAATATTGTGATAATTTTGTGAAGATGCGCCTTAAATCCTGCACTATGATTGGTGGTTGAGAAGTTTAGAGAATTCCTATGGGGGAAAAAAATAGATTTGTTCTTCCTTCTTCTTAATACTTTTGTCCATGGCGATGATGTTTTTGAATTTATTTCTCTGTATAAATGCACCGGGGAAACCCGTAGTGAAGGCTTACAAATATGACTTTAACTGCATGACATTTTTTTGTCCATTTAGACGAGGTCAAGGTCACAATAGTTGGTTTCACAGTTGGCTGAGTCTTTGCTGTAACTGTGACAGAACAACATTTCAGTCCTATTTCCCTTCAGCCACAACCTTCTCTGTGGGTGATGAAGACTAGTGTCCAGGCCGCAGGTCATGGCCAACGTCCCCCGCAGACGCCGAGGACGTGGAGATGCTGTTGTGTTGAATGGCCTGCAGATGAGAGCCAGGTCCTGCAGGAGTGGGACTTCCTCCCGGGCTCACCCCTGCAGCTGGACACAGAGACAGCTGTCAATCAGAGGGACTGACTCTGTGTGGACATGTCCTCTCTCTGGGCCTCTCTGAGTTTGGACACGTTACGAGTATTTCCTTTTTTTTTAATGCAGCAAAGAAATGAGAACAGCTGGGAGTACAGGAAAATATCTCTTTTATTTTAACAAATACATACAGGTAAAAAAAAAAAACAACAGTAAAATGTCTAGTGAATAGTACACGTGCCAATGTTGCAATCATCTTTGATCTTTGGAGGCCAACACTTCAAAAAATAATGGCTGTTTTCCATGTTTGAATCTCAAGGTGCATATGTCTTTGAAAGAACGTTGAGTCGTTCGTCTGACTGCAGTGCAAAGACGGGCGCTGTCTAAGGGCTTGTTCCATGATAACCTCATGTGAGTCAGTGCAACAGCGTCATGATTGGTGTATTGGTTAGAGACGGTAAAAGTTTGACAGAGGAACTGCAGGTAGTCGTCTGCTTCTTTCTGCTGCTTCATGGGAATAAAAGTGATGAACTTTTGAGGTCAGGAGAAGAACCTGGACCAATAAGTGCTGGTTTAGGGTTTTTTTTTTTTGGCTGGACAACATCCACACTGATGTGGAGTTTTTATTAGTCAGAAAGATGATCTCTTTCTGATTTTTTTTCTTTTAATTTAGTGACTTTAGTGAATTTTTACATGTTTAGTTTAGTTGAATTTCAGACCTTTTTCACACCTGATTAAAGCTGCCTCAGTTTTATAACATATAACATTAATTGATTTCTCATACCATTTTAATTTTTTTTTTTTCATAATGACACTGATTATCAGACTTTGCACCCACACCAGTGCCACAACTGTTGGCTGGGGGAGAACTCCCTGGGCTGCACTTATAAAAAAGCAGTAATCCCTCCAGTAGGTGTGAATTATACCCTGGGGGTTGGATGGAGCCGACTGGTTTCAGTCATCTGCTGATATTTTTAGCGAAGGGGGTGAGGGGGTGAGGGAGGGGGTTGTGGAGTTTTACTCACTGGGGTAACCCTGTGTCTCTCTCTGCCGGGTGGTGACAGGACAGTCTTTGTGGGTGAGCAGAATCTGCTTCAGCTGACCCACCTCCGACCTGAGTGATGTCACCTCGTTCTGGGAACGTGCAGAGAAACAGGTATTACGTATCCTGGAAGCACGGGTTGTGTGTTTGTTTCTGTGTTTCTGTGTGTTTCTGTGTGTGTGTGTCCTACCTGTAGCTGCAGGTTTGTATGCGTCAGCTCTTCAGCTTTCTTCTCCAGCGACGACACCCACAGCTTTCTCTTCTGTCTGCAGCGCGTGGCTGCGGCACGGTTGCGTTCCAGAAACTTCTGCCTGCGCTCGTCGGGGTCCTGGTCCGTTGTCCTCCTGCGTCGGTTGCTGCATCCACCTTCCCGTATGCCCCCACCGCTGCAGCTGCCGACTGCTTGCAGTGCGTGCTGGGAGTGGGGCGGCTGTGAGGGCTGCATCTGCTGTGGGACTGGAGATAACTGGGGAAAAAAAGGGAAACTTTTCAAATGACTCACTGTGTTTAAATGGAAAAAACCTGGTGTCAGGTGTGGTTCAGGTTCATATTTACTATCTCTAAAAAGTAGAGTAAGTAAATCTGTCAGTATAATGCACCAGTATGCTTCGAAAAAAAACCCCAAACATTATTTTTGGCCTTCACGTCTGTGAATGAAGTCATTTCAAACATGGAATTTCAAACACCAAAGTTACAAAACAACACATTTGACCCCACTGAGGGAGGAAGCGATAAACCAGCAACTCCCGTGTGCCGTGATGTAAAATTGCTGCTTTTGTACGTGGGCCTGAGTGACCTCGGTGGGAAAGGGTAAGAAGTTACCAAAGCTGGAAAACTGTCAGGTTCCTGTTGGAGGGACTCATATTTGTATTGTCTAAAAAACAGAAAAATCAAAACTCCTCCTTTTGAAAGGAGGTGCAGGTGAAGAACCGTACCTGTGCTGGAGCAGGCCGTGGAGGTGCAGGAGGTGAAGCCTGGTGCAGGCGGGGAGGCGGCGAGCGGTGAGCCTGAGCGTGCTGTACGTTCCCTGACGACTGGATTTGGTGACTCTGCGAGTTGGCCGCGTGCTGCGCAGGAGCAGCTCGGCATGGCTGCTGGTAGGGAAGGGGTGGAGCCGGAACTTGTGAGTGGTGATGATGATGATGAAGGTGATGAGGAGGAGGAGGGTGAGGATGAGGATGGTGGTGTTGCAGTGAAGGAGGCGGCTGATGGCACTGTGACATCATGTCCATCACGTGACCCATAGACGCGGTGGGGTTGTTGATGCTAACCATTCTAGGTTGGTGCTGTGGGAAATGGCCCAGCGTCGGTTTGGACCTCTGTGAGGAAATCACAACAGGATGTTTATATGAGCGTCAGAATATTCAAAATCACTAAATGTACAGACAAAGTAAAAAAAAAAAAAAACGACCGGTGAACCGGTAATTCTCCAAATATTCCAGTTCAGACAGATCATATCTATGTAGTTTTGGAAATGTGGCTAAAGGTTTTTCTTTATTCTTTGTACCTAGCAAAATTGTGTTATATTTAAATAGGGAATATTTAGCTACAGTTTCTGCTAACTTTTTGGTTATTTTGGGAAGTTCTGTGATCCATTTTTATTTGTAAATACTACGTATTTGGCTTATTCCTGGATTATCTGGTTAATTAAATCATGAACCATCTACCTTCTTTTCTTTCCACTAAATTTGTTTGTATTTTTGGCTAAGGTTAAGCTGTTGTTTTCTTTATGTTTTTGCCCGTTTTGTTTCTTTTTTAAGGTTTATTTCAAATCCATTCTATCCCAGTGGACTGATACTCTGGTAATGTATAGTTTTGTCTGAAGTCCGGCCGGCCTTCAAGACAGGTTGGTCAGCTCTGTGAACTTCCGTCTATCTTCATCATCAACATCATCATCAACACCGTCTGAACCATAACTTGTGAGGACGAGCGTAGCCACAAAGGCTAACGGGCTCTGATGGATCCAGCCGCGTGCAGTTTGATACCTTCACACTTTATCATTCCCTCGTATCATCTGACTAAACAGACTGTAAGAGCTAAATTAAACCTCGGCTCACCTTTCTCCTACGCTCAGCAGTGGACAGGGAGAGGTCATGTTTGGAGCATGACATCACCCTCTGTCTCTGGCAAACTGCTATCTGCTGCCTGTTACGCAATATTTCTCCAACACAAGAAGCTTCTCTCTTTCTCGCTCAACCATTCAGTGATTAAAAAAAAAAAAAAAAGAGGGAGCACATTTAGCAGCTGCCAAGGATGAAGTCATTTATCTGCCTGTGCCAACGTTGCCAGTCACACTCAAACACACGCACGCTAGCACACACACCAACCCAGTGAGCAGGACGGAGCAGAAGTATTTCTTCTGTGTTTACTACATAGAAACACCCTGACACTGGGCCTGGTGATTACATCATGGATCGCCTCAGCTTGCATGACACACCACGCTGTTATTTCTGTCTGCAGGGATCAGTGAATGAAGACATGAAAGTGTACGTGATACGTTCGTCCACTGCTCAAATGTTTACTCTGTGACTGAGTGTGGAGTTACAGTACAGCAGGAGTCAGGACACCTGAAGCACACGCCTGCTTTAGTGTAAAACACAACCAATGAAACTGAAATACTGTTTTACCCAGAACAATTGCAGCGTGTAGGTGTGAGTAGGTGTGCGTGTGAGGCTCAGATTTGAACCTGCACCTTGAGATGCCCTGAAACATGAAACCACTTTTTATTTTCCACTCTATATACAAGCTGTGAGCATGAAGTCATAACCCCTGTCAGGGTGTGTGTGTGTGTGTGTGTTTTCTCTTTGAACTGGCCTTTGATGACACACTTTTATTTAACAATTCATACAATCCGGGCCTAAAAGGAGGGAAATGTTACATTTACAAGGGAAGAAAACTCACGCTTGTTGTTGTGAGGGGTATAAAGCAGCCCAATGAATCAGTTATGACTTTCTGCTTCAGCAAATATATAGCGGTGCCTTCACTGCCCCAGATTTTTTTTTACCCAGCAGAGGAATAATAATAACTGAAACGCACTATAAAGCGTCGAGGAAACGTTCTCCCCTCTGTGAGCAGAGCCAAAGCTAAATGCTAAAAAGCTGCCAAATTATTTTCTTTTTTCTTGTTACAGCTTTCACCACCGTCCTTATGTGCCTCCAGACTTTTTTCTTATTTTTACTTGAGAACAATTTTATTTGTTGGTCGCAGACCAATTAATTTTGAAAGAATATTAACTCTTTTTGAGGGGATTAAATGAAGTAGATGATTTCTAGTCAATGAGTGTTTATACTTCTGGGGCCATCAACGACCTTTGACCTTTAAATGATAAATGAATAAATAAAATGCCAAAGATTAGTCACGCATAAAGAATAATGTAATTGCTTTGCTGGAAGCCAAGAACTTCAAACAACTTGGCATGGTTGTGTTCCCGTCGCCAAGCCAAAGCAAGACGATTGGTACAGTGGAAATTAAAAGATGAAAAAAAAAATGAAGTGTGTAGAACAATATCTCAGAGGGACTTCTCAGAGAGAACATGGAGGAAACTAGCACAGTCTAAGAAACCTCCTCCTGGTCTTCAGTTCATCCATCAGATTTAAATGGATGAATTTCAGCCGATAAAAAGCTTCTAAATGGGGCACGAAAGAAAAGCCTTGAATGAGGATGAGCTTTAAATGAGGATTAAAAGTGAAAAGTGAACTTGATATTGTAGCACGATGACTCCGAGCTCTGGGTAGGTGGTAGAAGTGAAAATCTTATCTTAAATCAGTGGTTTCCAAACTATTTCTGCAGTGTGTCTATTTTATAGATAGGTCTATTGAGTCTGCTACTTTTTAATTTATTTTTTACATTATTTTAATTTTTTATATTTTTATTATTTTTAAATTTGTATTGAAAAAAATAATAACTTTCATTAATTTACAAGCATTATAATTATATACTGTACGACGTAATAAATATTTATGTTCCTTGCTGAGCACTCAGGGGTGCCCTGCCCTCTATTTTGGGAACCACTATATTAGACAATGTCAATGAGGAACATACAGTAGTTAAGCTATTACCTAGTGTTGTATTTTGATGTCGGTTGGACTTTATAGTGAGAACAGAGAAACCGGCAAGAAGTGTGGACAGGAGTAAATACCTGTGGTGAGGAGCAGGGGGCGCTGTGGACAGGACCTGGGATACCCATAAGACAAGACATCTGCTTCTCTATCTGTAGTTAATAAAAAGAACCACAGTCAAAACTACTTTTCAAATGAGAGAAGAGCCTGAATCAGCACCAACGTTTCCACGAGCACAGAGTTCACCCTGAAGGTCACATCCATCCATCTGAGGTTGGCACTCGTGGTTAATTCATCCTTAGGGGTGAAGTGACTTCTTCTGTCAGCCAAGAATATATTTCTGACTGAGGAATCTTGGTCACTTTGGCCACTATCCCTGCATCTATAAATCATACTGTTTGCCTGTCGCTGTACGGTGGTACACAGTGTGCGTGTGTGAGGAACTGTCGAGGATGGGTGACACTCACAGGCATGTGCTGGGCTGATGCCCCCTGCATGGCTGGATCAGGCAGGGTTCCAGGTAAGGAGGCGGGCATTGGGTGTCTGTGCCTGTGCCTCATGTGGAGAAGAGAGGACACTGGCCCAGGAACTGGACTGTGGTCAGGCGGAGGAAAAGAGTCAGTGTCTAATGGTCATAACAAAAAACACAGGTATTTCACAAAACGTTTTTTTTAATCATATTAACTAAGTAATTATATACAAACAGGTCCATGGTCCATGAGATACTGTTGTTGAAAAAAAACATGTGATTCAAGTGACATTGAAAATGCCATGATTTTTGACGACAGACCAGACTCACAGTTCTCAGGGTGTGCTGATCTAACTGCTCTAGCTCTCCGACACGGAGACAGCGTGGGCCTCCGCAGCCGCGCTGAGGTCATTGGTGATGATGTCATCACCGAATCTGGGGTATGCGGCGCATTTTACATGCGGCAAAGTACAGACAACTTTATGCCAACATTTTTCCTGTGTAACTACAACAGTTGTAGCGGGCCAACAGCCAGACAGTGGGTGAAACAGGCAGCCATGGAGACCAGCCATAAACACCAGGAGAAACAGCCGTACGCTGATCCTCGCTCCACTGAGTCACATTTAACCAGTTTTACTGACTAACAGTGTGTCCAGGATCAGCTGGTAGTGATTTGTTGGAGCGCTCTCTCTCTCTCTCTCTCTCTCTCTCTCTCTCTCTCTCTCTCTCTCTCTCTCTCTCTCTCTCTCTCTCTCTCTCTCTCTCTCTCTCTGTCTTTCTACAGGGTCTCAGGGTCTGATTCGGACCTCACCGTCTACTACCTCTAGTTCTTAATCAACTACAGGGATGGTAAAGTTATATTGTTATATTATATGTGTGTGCTGTAGTTTTGAAGGCCCTCACATAGAACTAGATTCAGGAATAAAACAAATTCCCACGTTGAAAAAAAAGTTGATTTCATGCCCTGGTGTCTAATGCCTTTTCTAATATCTCTACTGTCAGAAAGAGTAGGAGCAGCTGTGGGGGCTACTTAGATGAAAGACAGGAACTCCTCTAATCTGTCTCTTGGACTGGGTGATAACAACCAGGGAGCCGTGGAAGTGAAGCAGACACTCAGAGACTGGCGGTCTGAAACAACATCAGTCTGCTGGTTGTTTGGTGTTGACGTAGGTTAGTCTAACTCTGTGTTTCACATAAGTTCACTCCTTGTCATTTTTTCCTACTGCTGATTGATGTTATACACTGTATTTTTCATTTTGTTTTACCCACTTCAATTTATTCATGCGGTGATAAATTATGCAGAGGTCAAATGTCAGTGAGGTCCAATCAGAGAAGAGAAAACAGTCTTAGACCAATGTGTAATGCATGAAAAAAAGAGTGTGTTTTGACATGTGAAGGACTGTATGTGTGTGTACTCACCCGACATGTGTGAGCGTGGATGAAGCCTGAGTGATGACTGATCCAGACTGGGAACAGGACAGGGTTTGCTGGGCAGCCTGGCTGCAGCTGGGGCCCATCATGGGGCCGTGACACTGGGGGTGCTGCAGAGCATGGGTTTGGGGATGGTGCAGAGGAGGCTGGGGATGCGGGTGCTGGGGCTGGGGCGGGTGCTGGAGCTGAAGCTGGGGTTTGAGCTGGTGCTGGTTCATACAGGACGGGCCATTGTGGGAAAGCGTCTGCATGGAGAAGCAGGAGCGACATACAGCTGGGACTAAACAATTTGGGGGGACATGTGTGTATTTTGATGTTGATACGTCAGTGTCTGCACACATGCATGTAATTCTATAGGTGTGTGTGCTATATTTACAATGCTGAATGTGATTGGCTGGTGTATTTTTATTTGTAGGATGTCAGCTATTGGCTGCTGCAATTCTTTTGGGTCAGACGTGTTATCTCTGAATAAAGTGACCTTTAAATATCACAAAATGATGAAGTGATATCAAACTTTTATTTTTGTATTGTTTAGAATGAATACCTCTTGAGTGAGATATTTCTTTTTTGGAAGTAAATTAGAGCAACAATACGAATGCCCTGCATTTTCACAGACCTTTTTATTTATAGGTTTATGTGTATGTGTTTTTGTATTTGATTCTAAGTTAGAAGTGGAATTAAAGCCATCGGGTTTTAGACTGAAACTGATTTTTAAATATAATATACAAATAATTACAACACAATGTTAGACCTAGCACAGAAATAGCCTGAAGCCAGAGGCAACAGATCAAATGTTGACTCAAAGCTTAAGGTAACACTTTAAGCTAATAATAATAATAATAATAATAATTAGTTTAACCCAGTTACATATTAAGTAAAATTAAAATTGTACCAAAAGAAAATAAAAAAAAATCAAACTGTTATGTAAACATGAACAAGAAGCGACAAATAAAAATAAACCTAATCCTTAATTGGTTAAAAGTGAAATAGTGTCAAACCTATAGGCCAATTAACTAAATGTTTTTTTAACTGTATGTGTAGAGACAGGTGTCTGAAAATAGTTGATGGAACAATAACTCACTATGAATTTTGCTTTTTAATTTACCTGTTTGCTTTTCTCCTCCTCCTCAGCTTGTAGGAACTCCTCCTCTATCTCTTTGAACAGACCGACCTCTTCACAGTTCTGCAGGAAGCGAGTCGGAGTTGGTGTCTGGTCTGGAGGTATGACATACAAATGCACACACACAAAAGAAGAAAGTCAATGCTTTTAGACTGTTGTGATGTGGCTTCAGCTGAGTTATTCCCTAAACGATCACACACAGAATTGAGGCTTTGTTTCCACTGCACTCTCTGCCTCTGTCTCTGTCTCTGTCTGTAAAAACATCACTCTGGCTCTGCTAGTCTTCTAAACAGGCAGGGGTCAGAGGTCGGCTGGGCTCTTTGTTTTTTATACCAGATTTCCTGCAGAGGGGTGGCAGGCTGTGGACATTGTCTGCAGACATTAGAGGTCATGTTTATGTTAATGTCCAGACACTCAGCTGTTCCTGTGCTTATACATAGACTCAGGATCATAAATACTGGAATAGTAACGCGACACTTTATCAACAAAGCATCCTTTAAAAAAAAAGTTGCTTTAACAAACACAACTTACTGACTGATATTTAATATTCAACATAATATTATGTTGAATATTAAATATCAGTCAGGATGGTTTAGCCGTAATGTTACCAATTATGGGATACCCAGTTGTTCTAGCAGGACTACCACTTCTTAAGATTTCTGTCCTGATTAATCAGAAAAGGATAAAAAAATGTGTGATATTTCCTGTGTTTTCTTCCTGTCTTCTAGATAAAGTCTTCCCAACTTTTTATTTCAAATCAGAGCAGCCTTTTATCAATGCATTTCCAGTTAGTTTGGTGTAATGTGATAGAATCTAATCTGACCGGGTGTTTTTTCATGTTGCAACATAAGCGGCTCTGACAGCAGCGACCAGAGGAGAGTGCTTGTCCTGATGGTATCTCATCTCACTCTGCATAAAGAATCACTGTCATTTTTTTCCCACTGACCCTGGCCTTAAAGGACCACAACCCCCCCCCTCCCTCACACACACACACACACACACTCACACATGCAGCCACACAACAGACCACCAGAGTGACATATGGTTTGTCTGAGCAAAAGGGAGAAAAAAAAAAGGAGATTATTTGCGGTTGTAGGAGGAGATAATGAGACAAGCTGTTAATTAAATACGAAAATCCCTGGAGGATCAGGGAAACCACAACCACAGACACAAACGCAGAGCAGTTTGATGTGGGACGACACTGTCGTGGGCCTACCTGTGAAAGTGGAGTCTGTTTTGATGGAGGGGAATTTGAGGGTCATCTCATGCTTGTGTCTGTGGATTATCAGGTGCTCCTCTAGCTGGAAGCTCTGTAAAAAGGGTGTGGTGACATGAGCAAGGCATTTGTACATCATTAAACAACAGTGGCTGTTGTTTGATTTAATTAAATGAATCAATCCCTCTTGAGATAAGTCATTGATTATTGGTAAGTATGAACGTTTCAAAAATCAACAGCCATTCTGAGAAGAATAAATAGAAGAGAAGAATTAGAAGGCACATACACAGTAACTCTAAATAAAAGAAATCTAATTTTTATTTAAAAAAAATAAAATGTGTATCTTAGACAATCTGCTTTCTCTGTTACTGTTCACATTTCACATGTTTATTAAAACATCACCAAAGCATTACTATTATTATTATTGTTATCATATTATTATTATGGTTGTTGTTTGGCAGCGTGGTAGTCCATAAAGAACATCCATGTATTCAAAGCCCAGCATTGTTCCTCCATTTTGTTTTTATTTTTTAAATTTCATTTCCTGCAGGATGTCGCCGTCCTCTGGCCACATATAACACAACCGACCGCACTCTACAAGTGTTAAGCAATCGCCATGACAGAGATGAACGCAGCATTCATGCTGTGTGGTAGCGTACTTAGCTTTAGCTTTAGTTACACGGATGTTAAACAGTAGCGAAATATACAATAACGAAACAGATCTATTTTATTCATGTTCCAAAAGGGCAGAGTAGCGTAGTGACACATTCTATGACAAGATTTTTATTAAGAAATGCAGTCGGTTGTTCGGTATTAGCTCCGCCAACAACAAGTTCCGGCCAAAGGTTTGTCTGTAGGTCAGGCTATTTAAGGGCGCAATTTGCATTTGATGTGCCATTGCACTTCAACGATTGG